ATTAGAGTAAGGTTATGGGTTCAAGTCCCAGTGGTATTGCTAGGGAGAGATTATTGGTAGATCAGAGGTTGACCACATCCATCAACTTTATGTGCTCGAACATCGGTATTTAAAAGGTTTGACTTGAATACAGCGAGTATATGATAATATGCAAAAGCGAAACACCCAAGTAGGCAATGTGTTGAGTCAACCTAAAGTGTAAGATTGAGAAAGCACTGAGACAACCTAGGTGGCAAGGTTAAATGTTGTGGCCTGGCCCAAAAGCATACTAGAGATGTAAGGTTACCTAGCCCAAAGAAGGTGTTGATAAAACTTACTCGCATGGAAGAGCCGAGGTGAGACTTGATCAAAACTCACAAGTGAACGGGAAAGATTGTTGGGAGATGGGTCACATGTGAGTAAAGAATTTCACATCATTAAAAAATCTGAATAAGATATCTTATATATGCATAAAAAGACCCAAAAACTTAGTAACTTAAGTTGGGCTTAAGTGGTGTCTAATATGTATGATTGGACTCTTTGATGTGCTCTCATTAACTCCAAATGTGATTTATCTCCCCTACTTATGGTAAGGGTACAAATACATAACATTGGAAGGAAACAGTCAATTTATTAGGTTCTTGTCTTTTCAAGAAGACACTTCCATTGAAAAGTAAAGACATACTAACAATACAGTTTGGTTCTGGCTTTATATGTTAAAGTATGTGATTGATTCAAAGCTCTAATATGTTGCTTTTCCTCATGTCTTCCCTTAGGCACAATTTCTTTGGCCCTTTCTCTTTTCTAAATTTGGCTGCTTCTATTGATCACTTCCTCCAATGAATTTGTTTAACCACTTCATGACAATATAAACATAACCCTCCAAATCCAACAGCAATGCAACGTAGAGTGTCGATATTTCCATCGTTCAGGAACCCTTTAAATTCGTGCATTCAATGTTTAATCCAATTCCTTTTGCATTTACGTGCATTATGGATCTTTCCACGTGACCATAATTCACAACTCGATAATCTTTTCCTGCTTTGCTTGTAGAGTAATTAATGAGTAGCGGCGAAATCTAGCAAACTTGAAATTGCAATCAACTTCAGGTTGTCCAAAACAATCATCAGCTTGGACTGTTTAATTTAACCGTAAGCCCAAATGTTTCAAGTTCAAGAACCATCCCGGATTTAAATCTATAAGCGTAAAAGTTAAAGTCCATGCTGATTAGCACTGCAGTCTGCAGTTTTGGTGTTTTTTGTTTTATAAAGGCAATTTGGTTGCCCAAATTGGAATTGACCCAATATATAGCCTGACAATTGTTGCCAACTTGCCATTAGCTGTGAATGTGCTGATTCAAGTGTCACCTTTCCTCTCTTCCCACTCTGATATCTAATACTAAGAATAAAAAAAGAGGCAGCCAGGTTTTATGAAGTGGCACAAATTTCAACCAAGTTATAATTAGTGAAAAAGAAGATTGTAGGAAGCCAAGCCACTCAACATGTTTTAATATTGTGGGCACATATCCCTTATGGGTGACAAATATTGGCTGAACTTCAGCATATATGCATTATTATTTAACCATTTTATCAAGGTACGCTGCTCTTCACCCTTGTATCCCTTCTACTTTAAATCATGTGACCTCACAAAGCAAGGAACCTCAAAGATTTTGCACCCAACATGAATCTTCTAGATATAAATATATTATACTAAATAGTATGGACTATTTTATAGTTTTGTTGTAGTAAGAGATAAGAGAAACACAGGCCTCCTCTTATCATGCAAAGTGGGAACCCATTTGAATATATTTTGATATGATATATATTTATATAGTCAAATAATGGTGCTTTGGGTAATCATAAACACTTCCACGTTAGGTGTAGGATCTTCCACGATGTGGATGGATGCAACTCCATGGGGAAAAAATTTTCTTACCAAACTCCACAGTTAAAATTGAACGAAAATTTTAATGATATGTAGTTGCATTTCTTTCTTTAGACAACATTTTAAGTTGAAGTTTCTTTAATAATATTTTTTTGTTTTAAGGGAAGGAGAGCCTTACATTAAGAGAAGGTGGGAGGTTGGGATCGAATCTCAATTTAATGTCTTCTTAAGGCTTTCTTAATCACTAGGCCAAGAAGTTAAAGACAAAATTTTTTTAATAATAAATGTTTGAATCTTACCATAAAATTTATAAGTTATCATCAATGATTAATGCAAAAAAAAAAAGTAGGTAGAATCATCAGAATGTTCGATGGATCTGCCGTGGTCAGGGAGAGGGGTTTGGAAGATGAGCCAAGTGCAGTTAACCAAACTAGAATGGTTGTTTGTGTTCCAAAGCTTTTCTGGTATGTGCTGGACAGAATATCAATTATTAGATGATTTCAGGTTCAGACAAGATATAATAATCACAGAACACATTTAGAATCTAAATCTAATCTGATTGTTTGATTAGTGGAACAGTCTTTGTCTTGTCGACTTTGGACTCATCTTACAAACTTTACATATATGAACAAAAAAGAAAAAAAAAAAAGGGATGATAGGAAGATTGATAAAGATTTAGGGTATAATATATATAATCATGATTGTGATTGCCTGATTGAAACTAAAGGCAATTCAATCAAATTTTTTAGCCCTCTTAACATAGAAAAAATACATCACATCACCAAAAACCCAAAGACTATTGCCAATCTGGAACCCACATTATACCATAGTCATCTCCACTAAAATGGCACACATGAAGTAGTGGCTGTTCATGCAACAACTCATTTAGTCATCATTTCACTTTCTCCCACCAAACTTTCCAAAAGTTGTTGGCTTTAATCCCCTCTTCCTTGCCCTCTCTTTTTCTTTCACTACTTCTCTGTGCCTATGCTTTTGATTTCTGTCATTCATGATGTTAATTAGTAAATGTGCAAAGCTTGTTGTGGAGTACTAATGGTAAAACACTAGAACTATCACTCCTTGTGCTTCAATCTTGTTGAAAAGAGATCAAATTAGAAATTAAGTCAAGTTGGTTTAATTTTTCTCTAAGGTTTGTGTCAAAGTTGCAATTTTACAAAAAAAAAAAAAAAAAAACAATATTCATTCCTTTTTTGAAAGGAAGCCATAATTTAAACATAAGAAAAGAAATCTAAGCTAGATATTATAAATCTTTTAAATATCATAAATTATATGAATCAATTAAATTAAAATTTAAAATTAAAAAATATTAATTTAAATAAAATATTATTTGCGATTCAAGGTAAAGACCTTGAAAACATCTTGATTTTGTTTGAATTAACAAGGTAAAATCTGTCAACGTGTCCATTTATGATGAGATCTACTTAGCATCAGTTAATCCAAAAGAAAAAAAAAGGGAGAAAAGTATAGGAAGAAGCTTTCAGATTTGGATGAAGAAATTGTAGTAAAGTTAAAAAACCATGTATACATTTGATATTCTTGCTTGTAGATGTTTTCTCTCATATTTTGACTTCTTTGACTCATTTGTGACAGCGTTAGACGTCACCAAAGGATGCCTAGCTTGTGAATAGGTTAGTGGTTTATAATTTTATAATTTATTACTAAAATATTAAATTTTTAATTAAAAAAATAAAATTTAAATTCTATCCCTCTTAATCAAAGAAACAGAAGTTTGATGCATAAAAAAAAAACCGAGGTTTATTTTTAGGCCTTTTTAGGCTTTAAAATTAAATGATAAGGCTTTAAAAGAAGAACACTCTATAAAGGAAGAAATTGAAAAAAAAAAAATAATTAGGATTACCCAGTAGTTAGATTGGGTCAATAACTCAATCTGTTCTCGATAAATTTTGATCTCATTCAATTTTACAGAGTCAATTATTTTTTTTAAAATCAAATTTTTAATCAGATCGAATCAAATATTATTAAAAAAAATTAAAATCAAATAAATTTAAATTTAAATAAATTTAATTTGATTTAATTCGATATTTATATAAAAATTAATTTTTTAATTATTTATATACTTATATATTTAAATATTTATATTTAAATAATATTTTATATTTAAAATAATATTTTATTAATTTTAAATTAAATTAGATTGCATCGAATTCAAAATGAATAAATATTACTCTTGATTCGATCCGTTGGTATCTTTAAATTGAAAAAATAAATACTTTGGCAAGAAAGCCAATTTTCTTTTTTTTTTTTTTTTAAATGAGCTTTTTGGTCACGTAGCATGCGCGAGTCTCGCGTGTTGTACTTCCTGCCATTGTTTGTGGTCCCATCACCAGAAACCAAGCGAAAGTCTTCTCTGGAAACTTCTTTTTTTTTTTTTTAATTCATTAATAATTTGATTTTTAAACACTAATTAAGTAGAGTTTAATAGTCATAGCTAAGAATTCAAGAACTAGGAATTAAATTATAAACCAATTATCTTCAGTCATTTTTTAAGGATTTTTTTGTTATATTTGTTATTAGTGGATATGGAAGAAATAAACTTCATTTAATAAAAAAGTAATCTCATTAATTATGGACTATATGTTTTATAAAGCGTGACAAAAAAAAAAGCCTAATTATATGTTAGATTATAAATAAAAAATTTTGTTGACATATTATTGATAAATACTCTAAAATAAGTCATATATTTTATACAATTTCAGTCTTACTTGTGAATCTAGCTTTACCCTTCTTAACTTAGATTTTATTTTTATATATATAAAATTTTATATATTTATTTATAAAATAATTATAATTTATCTATTTATCTCGAATTTTATATAAAAATTATATGATATAATTAATATTTACGTGAAAATATAAAATATATTTGTTATTTTATTAAATTATATACAATTTTTATCACCTTTATATTTTTTATACCATTTTTATAATAGGTCACTTTTTCTATTTGAAATTATCCGGTGTTCATTTTCTACATTCTCCTCATTCTCTTTCCCTCAGTTAAAATAAAAAAGAGAGATTAAAACAGAGCTTACCGTCTTTTAAATATTGATGAAGGCAAAGTCTTTTTCCATATTCTAAAGTTTACCTATCACGTTCCTTAGTCACTTGTTGCTCTCTCTCTCTCTCTCTCTTCGTCTAAATTCACCCGTTAATTACAATCCAAACTTGCCATTCTCGTTTTAGTTTCTGGGTTTTGTCCAAAACTTCGAAACAGAGTGTCTAATCTTGCAAAAAAAAAAAAGTGTAAAAAATGACAGTAGAGCGAGTAATCAGTGAAAAAAAGGATCAGTTTCCAATTGGAATGCGAGTTTTGGCCGTTGATGATGACCCAACTTGCCTTTTACTGCTCGAGACTCTGCTTCGTAGATGCCAGTACAATGGTTCCTTTTTTCTTCTTCAATCTTTACTTTTATATGAGCTCATAGAATTGGGTTCTTGGTTTTGTGATTTTCTGTTGAGTATTTGCAGTTGTTTTGGTTGTTGGTGTTGGTTGGTTTCCGTTAAGGTGAAATCTTTGTGAACTTTGGGGACTTCATTCATCCCATTTGCATTGCAAAAATCTAAAGAAAGATATCATTTTTCAGTTTCAATTTGCTGTTATTCATATATTGATTCAGTTGGTTGTATTTGTGAATTTTGAATCTTTGAAAAGGTTAAAAAAGATTGTTCATTTAGTGTGAAAATTTTGTGTTTTGCAGTTACTATAACAAGTCAGGCTGTCACAGCATTGAAGTTGTTGAGAGAAAACAAGAACAACTTTGACTTGGTTATCAGCGATGTCCATATGCCCGACATGGACGGTTTTAAGTTACTTGAGCTTGTGGGGCTTGAGATGGACCTGCCTGTCATAAGTAAGCTAGTAGTAATACTCTTTGCCTTTTTGCTTCTTTTATGTTCTTTTGACATTTTTATTAATCTGGATTTTGGATCACTATTCATTAATCTGACATTAGTCAATTCAAAGTCGATTACAAGGCGCTGATACTTCACAAACTTGCTTTCTTCTGATTTGTGTTGAAGTTGTAGAAACAACTGGATCTTTATTTTAACTAATGATATGATGAAATGCCTTCAGTGTTGTCTGCAAATGGAGATACTAAACTTGTGATGAAAGGGATTACTCACGGAGGTTGCGATTATTTGCTGAAACCTGTTCGAATTGAGGAGCTACAAAATATATGGCAACATGTAGTCAGAAGAAAGAAATTTGACAGGAAAGACCGGTATAATTCTGGCAGCCAAGACAAGGCTTATACCGATAGTGGTGAGGCTGCAAGGATGGGAAATGTTGATCAGAATGGGAAGCTCAACAAAAAGAGAAAGGACCAGAATGAGGAAGAGGATGAGGAGCGTGATGAAAATGGGCATGATAGTGAGGACCCATCAACCCAAAAAGAGCCTCGTGTTGTTTGGTCAGTGGAATTGCATCATAAATTTGTTACAGCGGTTAAGCAGTTGGGCATTGACAGTATGTTCTCTTCTTCTCAGCTTTGGCTAGATATATGGCATTAACTATTATTACTATTGTTTTGTTGACTCACTTGTTTTTATCTATTCAGCTAGTATCCAAGAATATTCTGATCATTTGAGATGATATTTCACCTGTTGAATCCCATTATCAATTTCTACTCTTAACATTTATTATTGATGTTTCTTTCACCAATCAATTCTTGGGTTAAAGAATATTCCTGTTGGTGAACATTCAGTTCTAGGTCCTCTGGCTTATTGTTTAATTTCACAGTGAATCTACTTTTGCATGAAGCTTTCGGTTTTTAACTTTTCACGTGGTTGCAATGCAGAGGCTGTACCCAAAAAAATCCTAGAATTGATGAATGTTGAAAAGCTTACCAGAGAAAATGTTGCCAGCCATCTACAGGCATTAATTCTTAACTTTCCTGCCATAGTTACTACGATTCAAAACTTACCAGCAAGCTAACTATCTCATTTTTCTGGTTGCAGAAATATAGGCTTTACCTGAAAAGAATCACCTGTTTGGCAAACCAGCAAGCGAATATGGCAGCAGCGGTGGGCAGTGCAGATTCTACCTATTTGCGGATGGGATCTCTGAATGGACTTGGGAATTTCCATACCTTGGCTGGATCTGATCAACTTCGTAATGCAGCCTTTAGATCTTTCCCACCTGGTGGGGTGCTTGGAAGATTGAACACACCTGCTGGTCTAGGCATGCATGGCCTTCCTTCTCCAGGAATGATTCAATTAAATCATGTGCAAAACTTGGGTAATACCAATAATGATCAGAGCAAGTTGCAATCTTTCGTAATTCCTGGAAACCATAATGCTAACATACTACAAGGGATGCCAATGTCATTAGAACTTGATCAACTACAAAATAACAAAGGAGTTAACCACATTGGAGAGCTGTCAACTGCTGATAATTCGACTGTTTTCCCTGTTTCTGGCAGTTTGATAAATGCAAGAACAACTGGATGCTCCGATAATCCCCTTCCTGGTGTTACAAGCAACTCCTTGATGTTAGAAGGAAGCTCTCAGCAGGCCACTTTGCATGCTAGTAATTTGAGAGACAGTGTTTCTGCAATGGGCTTCAAAAGTGGGAATCCTTTATCTCATTTTACGTCCATGGCTCCTGCTTCCGATCAATTACAGGATTCAAAGGCAGATTTACAAAGCCAAGCATCCCCAATCAGCTGTAATGCAGGGCAAATAATCAGAAATGCTCCTCAAGAATGGAATGCCGCCAGAAAAGATGCCACTTACCAATCAAATGTTATGTGTTGTTCAATAAACTCTTCAATCTCTGTTAATGGTGCTATGGATCACTTGGGCCCGTGCTTGGACCAAAATAACCCAATTTTCCAAAGAAATATAGACTTGGATTCTATTGGACCGTCAAATTTTGTTGATCCCTTATCTATCAAGCGTTGTGAAGGTGAAAACTTAGCTATGGAGCCATCAGTTACACAAAAGGAAGGGTATTTTGTAGTCCAACCAAGGCTGCAGGGAAGTTACATTCCTGATAACATTGGCTCCTTGGAAGATCTGGCAAGTGCAATGATGAAGCGGGTAAGATTTGTCGTATCTTTTCTTTGCCATTAGTTTCTTCTTTTGTTGATATTTAAATTACATTCTTAGTTTGAGTCATCAAATTACCCAACTAAAGGTACTAAGGATATGGATGCATGCTCCAAGGAGAAACTTTAGGCCAAATAAACTAGTGATATGTACATCTTACATATGGGTACCAATTGACATACTTAGTAGAAGTTATTTCTCTCCTATGAGACAATTGTAGAATGGCATGCCAAAGCATGCTCTGCCAATTTAGTGAAATGGCATTAGGACTAATTAGCATTCATTTTAGCCTAGAGTGTGTTTTCTTCCGGTATATCAGATTGGGGTTCAAATGACTTGGGAGACCTTGAATCTTCTTCTAACATCTGGTTAGAATATCAAGTACTGATGGACATTAATTTTATCCAAACGTTTTATGTGGGTGAATAAATAGAAAAGATCTCTTCTTATAAAATATTTCTTAAACCAAGATTTGATCTTTTTCCTTAAATTCATAACTTGGTGGTTGACTAACTTTTAGTAGTTCATGTATATCTCTTTTTGTTGGTTGTTGAATATTGGTCCTTCAATAACAAAAACCGTGCCGGACATCGATTTACAATTCTGACCATTTGACCATAATTGTGACAGTGGGTATCTTTGTTTATGATGCTAGGAACAAGATAAAGGGGAAGCAGCGGATGGCAATTTTGGATGCAATGCTTATTCTCGCAGGACTAATTGCATCTGAGATTAGAATGTAGCTACTAACAGCAAAAGAAGGATCTGCTTTACGAGCATTGCTGTTCTTGATGTGTTTGCCTAATGATGTAACTGACAACAAATCTATCTATAATCTTATTTCTGCCTATATCAACCTTTTCTCTGTTCTCTTCTTGTCTATCCCTAGCAACTTGCTGTTTTTAATCCTGTCTTATAACATCTTAAGAGCTCAGTTTCTCTAGTTGGTTGAGAAGAGTGATTTCTCCAGCTAGGGCGTCCAATATCGTATAATGAATAAATATTAGTAATTGCTTATGGCAAGACCCAACTATGCATTATGGAAATTTTATTATGTTGGCTTTATATTAGTACACGCTTTGCTGTATGTTTTGTACGTTTCATGATTAACAGATTAGGTTCGGATTCTTCAGGACTCTCACACCAAAAACTAAGAAGGGGATTGCTTCATCAAGAAAAGTGTAGCCCAATATTTTGATGACAGAAGAAATGAGAAGTTTATTGTTACGAAACATCTTCAAATATTATGTATAATAGTAATGGTAATAATCATATGCTGGGATAGAGGGGGCATGAACTTAACTGCAAATTGGAGAGAAAGCATTCAGGGTTAGAGGAAGTAAACCAATCCTCGCATCAATGCCTCTCAAATCACTCGCATCAGTAGCTTCAGGGCTTCCTGCCTCCAGTTCTTCAGCTGTTAAAGGCAACAAAGGCTAGTACATAAGCGTTACCACTGAAACCTTTTGGCAGTGGCGGCACCATCTTTTTCCTTATCTTCATAGAAATAGCTAGCAAACCATTGCTCCCTTCCTTACTCCTAAAGCCTTAGTTCTTGCCTGCAGTGAAAAGAAATTTGCTAATTGTGAATATTTATGTCCACATTAACCGTATAAATAGCATGTGATCATCTACATCAAAAATTCACTTGACTTTCTTATCCACTACAATGATATTCAGCTTTAATCAACCCAACCATGGAAGGCCTGCAACATGATGGATTAATGATATCTAGCACAAGCCCCAGTTGGCACTTTCCTAGAAACTTGATTTCTCAAATTATGGTTTGTGTGAATATTTCTGATATAAAACCCAAAGTTTTGTGCCTACAGCGCCTAGATGGTTTGTGTAAATATCAACTAACTCAAAACATAACCTAAAACAATTAGTTTTTGCTTTTACTTTTTAAACCTTGCAGTACCAGAACTAGCTACCACTTACACAAAGTATATAGCCAAGCAAATCTAGGTAGATTAACAAATAAAAAAAACACTTACTAAAGGACATAAGAAAAGGAATGGATATAGCATTCAAGTCAACTGCCAAACAAAAGACAATTGTTATTCTGCCAGGCCAACTACAAAATTTTACCATAAGCAAAATGCCATGTAAGGAAAAATCATTGGTTAAAGATTCTGATCAAGATGAATTTGCTTTCAATGCATAACCAGTTCCTACCTGCTTTACGATTGCAGAGAGCTCTTAATCATAACTTTTACATTGCAATCTCTAATCATAATGCAAGACCAAACTAGGCCTCAGTATCATATCAAGATCCTTTCTCTCTTCAGCTTATAAATACTTTAAATCTCAGATGATTCTAACGACCTGGATCATGTTTTAGTAATAATTATCAGCAACAGAGCCTGTATTGCATGATGCATTCCGATCTGGTAGAGGTTCTGGGAGCTTTTCCATATAAGTATGATTTGATTCGCGGAACCTACCAGATCCAGTACAACGATGTCTGTATTGCATGAAACAAGCACACGCTTAAATGGTTAACCCCACGTATCAAATTCATCTAAACCAAAAGCACAAATAACAATCTAAAAATTGTGTACCACAGCATAGGAGTACACAATTTCAAGTGCTCTAGTTCTGTGAACCACATCTTACAAAACATCAAGAGCTACCTTCTTTTATTCCAAGGACATGCATCAAGCATGGTGAGAGAACATCATACAACATTCACATTAACAAATGCTTAGGAAAAAAAAATCAGAACGTAACATAGTACAACAACACCATATGCACCATACCTGAACTCAAACGCAGAAATATGAGCCCATCACTAATTTCCCCATCTCAGTGCATAAATTCCAAGTCATAAGTCTCCAAAAAAGTAGCAATCTCCAGTTGTGGAAGATGCACTTCCTCTCCATAGAGAAGCATCCTATTTTCTTCATAGCTATAGAGAGATGACAAACAAGTTTCTTATGCTCATACCAAAATAATAGGAGCAAGACCTCAACAATTCAATTCACATAGGCTATATTCGACACAAAAACAGCTGTATAATAGTTCAAAAGGATCCCTGCTGGCAAGGGAAATAATTAGACCCTAAAAACAAAACTCCCTTTTCCGATGATTATACTGCTGTTACAGCTGGGTGTTACAATGATCTAAATAAAACAATCAACTGCACCAACATGACAAATAGGCAGAAATTAACATAAACAAATTGTTAAAAAGGTAACTGTTATGCAACCAAGGAAATAGATGAAAAGGATAAAAACAAAGTCAATAAGATGCAAATGATTAAAATTATTATTGAAACACTAACTGCATAATATACACTGGAATTCAACTAGAAAACCAGCTAAAGGCTTCGGTTACAATGCAAGCAAAAGAGAAAAGTAACAACTAAATCAACAATCTTTTTTGCCAATGTATACAAAGAAAATAAATCTTACACTCAAGTAGTCTACATCCATCAATCTTTTCCCAATTATTTTTCTTCTAATTAGAATTGTGTCCACTCTCGACCCCTAGGCCATACAGTGCACCTGCATATTTCTCTGTCGAGCCATTGAAAAAGTTATCTCTCAACTTCCTGAATGTGCATGATGTGAGCAAGCTATCCGAGCCAGCTTGATGACACGCACCAACTCTTTCCACTTCCAACAACTCTGCGAGCTTGTTCAAACCACCATGAAGGCTATTACAAAACTTCATCATATGCTTGATATCGTACACCATGGGAAAGTACATATTGATCAAATCAAAGAACCCAACTTGAGTATCAGGCAAACTCCTGCAAGTCAAAAGCTTAAGCAAGTACCCAAAGTCGTATCCACTATGAAAGGTGACCCAATGCACATCATCATTCAGCACAATCCCAGACGACATCAAAAGCTCACCAAACTGCTTCACATCAATACCCTTCTCACTATTCTTCTTAAAATCAATTCCGCACTGGTGCAACAACTCGATTGAATCACTAGCAAAGATATCCTCGCTAATATTAAACTCGCGGAAATTGAACTGCCAAATGCAATAGTTGTCAGTTCCACAAGTGGGAAGATTCCCATTCTCATCCGAAAAAGTGAGACCCAATTGGATCAATTTCAACATATCCACATTATCTTTCAAAGTTTGGTAGTTATAATCGTTTATATTCTTGAAAGTTCCGACAGGGCGTAGAACTACACCAGGGAACTCAGTATCCATAGCCACATAATTGTAAGAATCAACAATTTCACGGATCAAAGCAAACTCTTCTTCTAGATTATCGTTCCACACTTCTCGAATTTGAATTGAATCACCTTTGGGCAAAACCGACATTTCCAGTAGACTAAATCAAAGCGACAAATACTACCAAACTCAGATCTGTGAACAAAACATAAGCACATCCAAATTCCAAACCTTAAAAACTGAAGCTCCGAGCTGAGTTTCAAAAACGGTCGCGTTTCGATGTAGGAAGCAGATCTGAAACAAAAGCAAAGTAAAAGACGAAGTCAGATGATTTGAACTTTAGGAGTTCGAAACGAAACCTAGAAAGAAGTTGAAAAAGGAAAGGAGAAGAGATCTGACCTTGGATTTGTAAAATCGGACCTTGTAAATAACAGATCTAGAGCTTGTCAACAGTGATTCGTGCCCGACTGAGGCGAGTGCTTTCGGTCAACTAATCAGAGAGAGAGGAATGGAACGAAAACGCGGACGAGGTTCTAGCCCTTTACTTCTGGGCGCTTCTTAAAGACTAGAAAGGAGAGGACATTGGTTAAAGGAGGAAAGTGATACAGCCACGGATGGACAATATCAAAAACGACGGCGTGTTCTTTGGGAGGAGGTTTGAATCCGCTGTCGTTTTAACTGTGCTTTTCCAGTCACCTATGAATCGCTAAAATCTGATTGGGCAATTTTTTAGTTTCGGCTGATTGACAAGGAGAGAGAAAATCGTTTCGACTGACACTGAAATGTACTAGAAAAGGTATAAATCTTGCCACGTTGGTATCCAAACAAGATTTTTTTACCCATTTAATTTTAAATATATATATTTATTTATATAGGTATGGGATACTTATTTTTTATAAATTAATAAAAATTTCAACGAAAGAAATCAAATAAGTTAAATTTTTATTTATTTTGATAATATAATAAGTAATATAAAAAAATTTTAAAAAGTATATACATGTTTATTATAATAATGGTTATATATTTTTATTCAGTTCTGTATAATCGTACACAAATAAACATATTAGATTAAAACATGAAATGTGATATTTTTTCAAATATATATTCAACTCTAAAAAAAAATGATGTATTTTATATGTTATTACAAATATATTATTAACTTTTTCACTAAGATCGTAATTTTTTTTATTAAATTACAGTAATAATTATTTATTACATTTATATAATCAATTATTATATTTTAAACAAATAAATAATTAATTATAATTTAATTAAACAATCAAATCCATCATTAAATAATCATATAATAAATTATAATTTAATTAAACAATTAAACCCACACAAAATAAAACTTGAACCTAAAACCTTAAAATTCTAAGACCTCCTTGCCCAAAGCCTCATTGTCAGCAACATCGTAAGTTGAATCAGTAAAAACCCTAAAAGAACGATAGCTTTAACAAGCCCACAAGAATACAAAACATTCTTTCCCAATAAAACCAAAGCGAACTGAATCATAAGTGAAATAGCCTGCATTGCTTTGCAGGTATTGAACAAGAAAACTAATTTCCACAGGATATGAAGGCATTGACATCAAAGCCAGTAGCATTTAGACTACATTTTTTCACAAGGAGAAGTAACTAAGCAAGCACAATAATTAATATCTATGATCCTGTGGAAATGTTTAACATAATTGTGCCGATGCTGGAAAGCAAGTTCATAACTCATTGAACAAGCACGGCAAATTGTCATCCAAATCAATGATATATGAAATTTTAATGATATTTGTGATAATTTTCACTATATCCAATGTAATACCAAAAATAAAGAACAAACCTGAAGAGGAGTTCCAGTCAAAAGCGTGCAGTGGCTACTGGTATTCTGCTTCAATGAATAGAAACAAATCTGAATCCTTATCTTGGGCCGATGACCTTCATAAACGATCTACACAATGAATCAAGCATTAGCAAAAAAACACACTTAAGAAGTACCATACAGACTCAATGAGCAACAAGATTTCACCATGCGCTGCCTCTTTATTGGCTTCAATGATGCTGTGTCCAAGTTAATCATCTCATAGGACGTTAGAAGGACATAAACTTTTATCCTATCTTGCTTGCTTTCACAAGCAATTGGCCAGACATCCATTTCTTGATCTTCTCATGACATTTTAGGATGATAAAATTCATATTCCCCTATAATTGCACGAGCTTGGGCAGAGCCAACATACATAACCTGCATCATGAGTATACTCAATTAAAATAGCATATACTAGTAATTTGATATTTTTCATGTACATACAACATATATTTGGGGAGAGCCCATGTTACAAACTTTTGTTCCCAGTTCCATAATGTTGAAAGTGGAGCTAATACCAAATGAGGAGCAATGTTCTCTTCAAAAAGAGTTGCTAAGAAAGAACTACTCTGGATGGTTCTACCTGCAGGCAAACAAAGGCAAAGCATTTGCAGCCCCATTATCAAGATAGAATCTCTCAAACTCCTTAAAAAAGCAACCTCTCTTCAAACAGGACTTACCAAAGCCCATCTCATCAGCAAGAATTGCATCTGTTTGTTAGGACCAAGAAAAACGCAAGTTCAACCCTTCAAGCTGGTAAGGATGCAGTGAGCCTAGACTTCCTTGAAAATGCTGTCAGCAATTAATAATGACCAAAATATGTGTGAGCATGCTAAAACTGGTGCTAGATTGAGGGGGAAAAAAATCAGAATGTACCTCCAGAGAGAAATTCAGGACAATGGTCATACTGTTGAAATTCCTTTGATTTCTACTTGGACTCAACTGCATCTTGAAGGCTGCTTTTTTGCTTACTAGCAGATGATTTATGAGATTTGGACCGAATTTTATTAAATCATTTAATTTCAGGTTGAAATGCAGTTATTTCTGATTTGAACTCCCAAAACATTCATCATAAGGAAGTTCTTTATACTTTACAAGGTACTCCTTATCATCATCTCCCATGAAGAATTCAGTATGCATATCAGACTTATACATCAGCTACTGAATCAATACTCAAAACAGCACTAAAAAACACCAATCCAGATTTACAAACAGTAAAGTATATCACTATCCAGAACTCAGATGATATCACAAATGAGGATGATCACAGTATGTCTGCAAGTTCTAACTTTAACTATGAGATAAAATCACACTTCTTTTGCAAGCCCTTAGTACTTTTCAATTAATGATGTCATTTATACCCCGCAAAAAAATAAAATAAATAAAAAATAAGAACACAAACAAAATTTAAAACTAAAAAACCAAAAGAAAGAGAGACAGACAGAGAGAGAGAGAGAGAGAGAGAGAGAGAGAGAGCAAAACCCAACCAGCAGAGAACCTTCAAAGTGAAACTATCATCCAGATCGAAATCAAATGATTAAAATCAAGGGCATACAACTTATATATATAGATATTTATACCTTCAAGTGAAACTATCATCCAAATCAAAATACATACATACATGTGTGTGTGTGTGTGTGTGTGTGTGTATAAGAAAGTTTTAGATAGGAGATACTGCAAGCAAGAATTCGATCAACTGTAGTCACAAAAACGGTCAACTCTGTGTGCGTGTGCCTGTAATACATGAAACAAGCACTCACTTAAATGGTTAACTCTACATTCAAATTCGTCGTACCAATACCACAAATAACAATAAAAAAATTCTGTGCCACAGGAAAGGAGAACAAAATTTCGAGTATTCTAGTTCTCTGAACCACATCTTACAAAACATCAAGAGGTAATCCTTCTTTTATTCCAATGATATGCATCAAGCTTGCTGAGAGAACAGCTAATAACATTCACATTAAAAAATGCTCAGGAAAAAATATCAGAACATAACATAACATAGTATAACAACACCATATGCACCATATATGAACTCAAATGCAGAAAAACAGAAATCCCCCATCTAAGTGCATAAATTCCAAAGTTATAAATCTCCAAAAAGAAAGCAATATCCAATTGTGGAAGATGCAATTCCTCTCCATAGAGAAGCATCCTATGTTATTCATAGTAATAGAGAGATGACAAACAAGTTTCTTATGCTCATACCAAAATAATAGGAGCAAGACCTCAAAGAGTTCAATCCACATAGGCCATATTCTACAACACACAAAAACAGTTATATAATAATTCAAAAGGATCCCTACTGGCAACGGAAATACCCTAAAAACAAAACTTTCTCTTTACCGGTGACTATACTGCTGTTACAGCTGGGTTTTAAAATGATCTAAATAAAATGATCAACTGCATGAACATGACGAATGGGTAGAAATTAACATAAACAAACTGTTAAAAAGGTAAATGTTGTGCAACCGAGGAGATAGATGAAGAGGATAAAAACAAAGTCAATAAATTGCAAATGGTTAAAATTATTATTGAAACACTAACTGCGTAATTTACACTGGAATTCAACTAGAAAACCAATTAAAGGCTTCAGTTACAATGCAAGCAAAAGAGAAAAGTCACAACTAAATCAACAATCTTTTTTTGCCAATGTATACAAAGAAAATAAAATCTTACACTCAAGTAGTCTACATCCATCAATCTTTTCCCAATTATTTTTCTTCTAATTAGTGTTCTGTCCACTCTCGACTCCTAGGCCATACAGTGCACCTGCATATTTCTCTGTCGAGCCATTGAAAAAGTTCTCTCTCAACTTCCTAAACGTGCATGATGTGAGCAAGCTATCTGAGCCAGCTTGATGACACGCACCAACTCTTTCCACTTCCAACAACTCTGCAAGCTTGTTCAAACCACCATGAAGGCTATTACAAAACTTCATCATATGCTTGATATCGTACACCATGGGAAAGTACATATTGATCAAATCAAAGAACCCCGCTTGAGTATCAGGCAAACTTCTGCAAGTCAAAAGCTTAAGCAAGTATCCGAAGTCATATCCACTATGAAAGGTGACCCAATGCACATCATCATTCAGCACAATCCCAGACGACATCAAAAGCTCACCAAACTGCTTCACATCAATACCCTTCTCACTATTCTTCTTAAAATCAATTCCGCACTGGTGCAACAACTCGATTGAATCACTAGCAAAGATATCCTCGCTAATATTAAACTCGCGGAAATTGAACTGCCAAATGCAATAGTTGTCAGTTCCACAAGTGGGAAGATTCCCATTCTCATCCGAAAAAGTGAGACCCAATTGGATCAATTTCAACATATCCACATTATCTTTCAAAGTTTGATAGTTATAATCATTTATATTCTTGAAAGTTCCGACAGGGCGTAGAACAACACCAGGGAACTCAGTATCCATAGCCACATAATTGTAATTATCAACAATTTCACGGATCAAAGCAAACTCTTCTTCTAGATTATCGTTCCAAACTTCTCGAATTTGAATTGAATCACCTTTGGGCAAAATCGACATTTCCAGTAGACTAAATCAAAGCGACAAACACAACCAAACCCAGACCAAATCAAAGCGAAAAGTACTACCAAACCCAGATCTATGAACAAAATATAGGCACATCCAAATTCCAAACCTTTAAAGCTGAATCTCCAAACAGCGGCGTTTCGATGCAAGTAAAGTAAAACACAAAGTCAGATGATTGAACTTTGGGAGTTCGAAATGAAACCTAGAAAGAAATTGAAGAAGGAAAGGGGAAGAGATCTGACCTTGGATTTGTGAAATCGGACCTTGTAAATAACAGATCTAGAGCTTGTCGATAGTAATTCGTGTCCGATTGAAGCAAGAAATTTCGGTCAACGAGTCAGAGGGAGCGGGAGGAAACGAAAACGCGGAGGATGTTCGAGCCGTCTAGTTCTGGGTGTCTTCTTAAAGACTAGAAAGGACGGTGGTTAAAAGAGGAAAAATGATGGAGCCAAGGATGGACAATGTCAAAAACGACGGCGTTGCTTTTGAAGGCGGTTTGAATACGATACCGTTTAATTTTGCTCTTCCAGTCATCGATGGCTTCCAAAAATCTTATCGGGCAACTTTTTCGTTTAGCCTGATTGACAAGGAGAGAGAAAATCGTTTGAATTGACATTGAAATGTACTGGAAAAGGTTTACATCTTGATCGTGGTGCCAGAACAAGATATTTTTACGCCTTGAATTTTAAAAAATTAAATTTATATAGATATGTGATAATTATTTTTTCATAATTTTCTTATACCAATATCATTGAAATTAAATAAAATTTTCAATAAAAGAAATCAAACAAGTAAAATTTTTAATTTTTATTACATTATAATTTTTTTATTACATTATAATATATTTTTATTAAATTTTTTTATTTTTATTTATATCATATTATCATATTTTATTTTAAATTACAACATTTATATGTACCAATTATCACAAATTGCACTGATGTTCGATAACAAGAAAAGATAGTTGGAGGTGGACAAAATCATTTATCCAGGGAAATAGCCCTTTTGTCAGCACTAACATAAAAAAAATTTATCCAATAATTATTGTCACGATTATCCGTATACTTAACTATACTAAATATTAAACATAAATGCAAAGCCATCAGCTGAACAGGGATAAGAAAAAATAAAATATTGGTTTGAGGTTTTTTTTATTTAATTTATATTATATTTAGATATTAAATTTTAATTAAATTTTAAATTAAAAAATAAAAAAATTTAAATCGAATCGAATTATATATTTTTATTAATTTTTAAAATATTTATAAAATAAAAATAATAATTTTATATTAAAATTTTATGTTAAATAATATATAAAAATTAAAAAATTAAATTTTAAAAATCAACAAATCAAACCGAATCAAATTAATAAAATTTGATTCAAATTAAATATAAAATATTATTTTAAATTTACATCAAATTTTAAAAATTAATAATATTATGCAATATAAAAATACAAATCAACTTCTACTGATTTAAATCATTATTACTCTTACAATTAAACATGGTCAACGGACAAAACACATATACAATCCATTAATTTTAGTAAGTTATTCAGCATCGCTCATTGTGTACAAAAGTTTTTTAGTATAAAAAATCAGATAATATACTGAATTAAAAACATTTGTGAAAAAAAACTGAATTAAAACAGTAAGTAAAATATTTTGGCAAAAAAAAAACATTATGGAAAATATAATATCAATCTTCATTACTTCTTGTTACAAAAATCATAACTACGTGTCTGTTGAGAGGAGAAACAATTTTATATTTTAACAGTCAAAAATCAAACCAGTGAATAATATAATATCACATTATTAATAAACAAATATAAAAATTTATAAATCTTTAAAAAATATATACAAAAATGTTACAAATTTTTAAAAATAAATATACAAAAAATTTTAAATAATCTAATGTCATATGATTAATTAAAATTATATAAAATTCATACCCCAATAATATATCAAATATATACTCATTAAATTACTCTTATTTATCAAATATATACCAAAAAAAAAAAACCGCGTGGACAGGCTTCCAAACCCAGAACAGGCAAGCGTGGAGGCGTAGAGCTGACGTAAACCTTCCTGCAAAATCGAGCTTTAAAACAACCAAAAAAATTTTAACCAAACAAAGCCTTAACCTCAAAAAAAAAAAAAAACCACACACACACACACCCGGCACGCGCGAAGGTCCCGAACTCTTCTACGACCTTCTCTTTGCTTCTTCACTTGAAATTTCCTCTTAAACCCCACTCTGTTTTAATTCATAAACCCAGAAACCAAAGCAAAGAATAAACCCCAAACAAAACTTTAATTCTCTCTCGCTCTGTCGTCAATATGGCCTCAAGAAGGCTAACTAGGTCCGCTTTCTCAGCTATTAAAGCATCAAAAGCATCAACTCCTTGCCTTTCTCGGGCTCGTGCCATCTCCGCCATTGCTTATTCTTTGCGTAATTCCCTTATTTCACCTTATCTTTCTCCAAATTTCTACGGAGTAGCAGAGAGCAATGGCGGCGTCTTCTCTATCATTCGCAGCATCCACTCTTCCACTCCACGATACTCGTCCGCCACTAGCCCTGCCCAGGTTTATATTTCATTTATTTATAATTATCAATGTTAACGTTTTCATTTTCGCTTTTATTTACCTTGAGATTAGACCTGCTAATTTAAAATATAACAGGGCGATGTAATACAATACGAAAATATAATAAAAAATGATACGACTTGAAATTTTAATAATTATTATTATTTAACAAAATTAAAATATATATTTTATGTTTTTATGTCAACATCGATTGTGAGATATAGTTTTTGTGTATTTTGTAAGAATACATAAATTTTAGTATTTTACACAACACTGCTATGAACTTTTTGGTTTGTATTTTTAATTTTAGAAAACTTTAGCTAAGGAAGGCATTTGGATTCAATTTTTTTAAACATTTTGTTTAGATCCCAAATTTTGATGAAATTCGGTCAAATTTTATTGTAGCGTTTTTACCATTCTTATGTTTATGTTAACTCTCATTGTGTTCTTGGATATTTTGACATCAGATCAATCAAACAGATTACACTGACATGGCCTGGGATGGCCTTGTTGGAGCTGTTCAAGCGGCAAGGGATAGCAAGCAGCAAATGGTGGAAACCGAACACTTAATGAAAGCCCTTCTAGAACAAAAGGATGGGTTAGCTAGAAGAATCTTTACAAAAGCAGGGCTTAACAACACCTCGGTCCTGCAGGCTACGGATGAGTTTATATCAAAGCAGCCTAAAGTATGTATTTTAATGATTTATGATTTGTTCATGAGTTTGATTTTATGATTTATTCTTTGTATATGATTTGTGTGATATAGAAGTATTTATTTTCTTGTGGCAGGTGATGGACACAAGTAACCCTGTAATGGGATCAAATCTTAGCTCCCTTTTAGACAATTCTCGAAAGCATAAGAAAGAAATGGGAGATAATTTTGTTTCTGTGGAACATTTTGTCCGTGCATTTCTGTCGGATAAGAGGTTTGGCCAGCAGTTATTCAAGAACCTCCAGCTCAGTGAGCAGGCTTTGAAGGATGCCATTAAAGCTGTTCGTGGGAATCAGCGTGTAACTGATCAAAGTATGATTTTAAGTTTAACCTGCCATATGTTTGTTTTGGATTATGGTATCATCTTATAGCAAAAATTACCTGCAACTAAGAAACTAATTCTGTATAATGGAAAATTGCATAGTAGTTCTCACAAATATGGTTAAATCAAATGCTATGATGGATCAGTTTAGAGCTTCCAGTTGAAAGAATGAAAAGTATAAACTTAGTCAGGCTTTATTTAAGTAAATTGAACATATATGTTTAATTGGGACATTGGTGAAACTGAAACATATCTGGTTTGCCAACTCAGCTTAATTTTATTCACTTATCATACTATGTCCTTGGGCTACATATTCTTAAATGTTACTTTCTTAATGCATGTAGATCCTGAAGGAAAATATGAGGCACTTGACAAATATGGGAATGACTTGACTGAGCTTGCTAGGCGTGGCAAACTTGATCCTGTTATTGGCCGTGATGATGAAATAAGGCGGTGTATCCAGATCTTATCAAGGCGGACAAAAAATAACCCTGTTATAATTGGTGAGCCTGGTGTTGGGAAAACAGCAATTGCTGAAGGGTATGTTTTTCAAGTATTTTGGGTTCTTTTGGAAATTATGTCAAGTTGAAAGTTTTGCTCCATGGTTAGGACTTGTTTGGTGATTTGCTCTTTTCCATCTTTGGCTTCGATTTAGTATTGCTGACAGAATATCTGCATTTAATAATTCTTGATTTCATTGGACTTTAAAGTAGTGGCTTCAACCTTGAGCATGAGGCCCCTTGCAAACAAAATGTGGATATCCAGCTGTCAAATAGTTCATTTTCTGGATTCTACTTTTTTTGTTTTGCACCACCTGTCCACAAATAATGTACTTAACAGAGAAGGCATAGGAATAAATAATTTAGTCCCTGTTCTTATATGCCAGTGCTAATAAGCAAAAATTTTGTAAATTTCCTTTGAGTCATATTTATTACTTAGTTATATGGGTGTGCATGAATACTTTGTGCATAATCGTTTTTATAATGAAAATTTTCTAATTATATTGCAGATTGGCTCAAAGGATTATACGGGGAGACGTTCCAGAACCATTATTGAATCGAAAGGTATTGATTTAAACAAAAAAGTTATCCATTTGAATAGATACGAACATTTTGAATGTGCTTAGACACTTTAGAGGCAAATCTTGGATGATAAAGATTTAGTTGTAGGATGAAACTTAAGGGGCGGTTCTTAGAGTGTACTGGATCTATATTTGTATCAGCTATTCATAGACTCTGGTGATGAGCCTGTCTTAATTGAAGTAGTAACTATCTAGTTGGAACAGCCTCAATGGTTAATGTTCATATAAAATTGGCATTATTTCCTTGTTTTCTTCAGTTGATCTCCCTAGACATGGGTTCCTTGCTGGCTGGTGCCAAGTTTCGTGGAGATTTTGAGGAAAGATTGAAAGCTGTGCTGAAGGAAGTTACTGCTTCAAATGGGCAGATTATTTTATTCATTGATGAGATTCACACAGTTGTTGGTGCAGGTTTGTGCCTTGCATAATTGCTTTAAATGTATAATTTTGTTGTTGAATATTTACCATTGTTTTCCTTCCAGAATTCATTTGTGCTACATGGAATAATTTTGTAACTAATTCAATGCAGATGAATGCACTACTAAAACTTAGCATCTTAGCTTCTTAATAGGTTTTTATATTTTGATTTGAGCAAGGTTTGGTTTCTAATTCTAAAGAAGTTATCGTTTATATTGCATCGAACTATGTGTTGAAGATAGTTATGCCTAATTTTTTTAGGGGCTACAAGTGGTGCAATGGATGCTGGGAATTTGTTAAAGCCAATGCTGGGAAGGGGTGAGCTACGATGCATAGGAGCTACTACGTTGAATGAATACAGGAAATACATTGAGAAGGATCCTGCACTTGAGCGTAGATTTCAACAAGTCTATTGTGGTCAACCATCTGTTGAAGATACAATATCTATACTTCGAGGCTTGCGTGAACGCTATGAGCTACATCATGGTGTTAAAATATCTGACAGTGCTCTTGTTTCAGCGGCAGTTCTTGCAGACCGGTATATAACGGAACGTTTTCTGCCTGACAAAGGTAAAGTAACGAGCGAAAAGGGAACTTTTATTACTGCTGCATGTTTAGATTTTATGTTAATTATCTACCTGCCTTAAAAATTTTGGGTAAATGAGCTTCTTTATAACTCTAATTTAATTTGTTCTTTTCAGCCATTGACCTTGTTGATGAAGCTGCTGCAAAGCTTAAGATGGAGATCACTTCTAAGCCCACTGAGTTGGATGAGCTAGATAGAGCTGTTCTGAAGTTGGAGATGGAGAAGCTTTCCCTTAAAAATGACACTGATAAAGCATCCAAAGAAAGGTTAAGCAAGCTGGAAAATGATTTGAACTCACTCAAACAGAAACAGAAAGAATTAACTGAACAGTGGGATCATGAGAAGGCTCTCATGACTAGGATCCGATCAATAAAAGAAGAGGTAATTTTCATTTGAAGTCATTGTTGGACTGTTAAATAGCCCTCATATTTCTTTTTAATCTCTGATTCACCTTGTTTGATGGTTATAGATTGATAGAGTTAATCAAGAAATGGAAGCTGCTGAGCGTGAGTATGACCTAAGTCGTGCTGCTGAGCTCAAATATGGAACTTTAATGTCCCTTCAACGTCAGTTAGAAGAGGCTGAAAAGAATCTTGCTGAGTTCCAAAAGTCTGGGAAATCCTTGCTCCGGGAAGAGGTTACTGATCTTGATATTGCTGAAATTGTTAGCAAATGGACTGGCATACCTTTATCAAACCTCCAACAGTCAGAAAGGGACAAGCTAGTCTTGCTGGAAAAGGAGCTGCATAAGAGAGTAATTGGTCAAGATATTGCTGTAAAATCAGTAGCTGATGCAATCAGACGCTCAAGGGCAGGATTGTCTGATCCAAATCGTCCAATAGCTAGTTTCATGTTCATGGGCCCCACTGGTGTTGGCAAAACTGAGCTTGCAAAGGCTTTAGCTGGTTTCCTCTTTAATACAGAGAATGCTCTTGTCAGAATTGATATGAGTGAGTATATGGAGAAGCATGCAGTCTCTCGCTTGGTTGGGGCCCCACCAGGCTATGTTGGTTATGAAGAGGGTGGACAACTCACTGAAGTTGTTCGTCGAAGGCCCTATTCTGTAGTTCTCTTCGATGAAATTGAGAAAGCTCATCATGATGTATTCAATATTTTGCTACAGTTGTTGGACGATGGAAGGATAACTGATTCTCAGGGAAGGACTGTTAGTTTTACGAATTGTGTGGTAATAATGACTTCAAATATCGGTTCTCACTACATTTTGGAAACTCTCCAAAGTACACATGAAAGCAAGGATGCTGTTTACAATGTGATGAAAAAACAGGTTGTTGAGTTGGCCAGACAGACTTTCCGCCCAGAATTCATGAACCGGATTGATGAGTATATTGTTTTCCAGCCTCTTGACTCCAAAGAAATTAGCAAAATAGTTGAGATACAGGTGATTAATCTTTGCATCATACCTTTTCTTGGTGTTTGATATTCTCTTTTTTCTAATGTTTTCTTAATGAGGAATCTTCTAAGGATAAAATATTAGTAGTAAACTTTGATGTAGTACTATTGTAAGCATTGGAATAGGAAATATTGAACATTACTAGATAATCTTTATTTTAGGTTCTGCACATTTCTTTCAAAGAAAGTATGTAATGTCCATTGCACAGTGATTATCCCTGCAGGAGGATTCTCATGCCTCATGTCCTAGTTCATAAGTTTGTAGATTTTCATCTTCAGGTCAAATTGAAGGCTTGGTTTTAGCTCTAACTGCTCTTTGTAGAAATTGCTAGAGCAAAAGTTTTCCTTGCCATAATTTTTAAGAGAGAGGAAGTAATATCAATGAATTATCATTGCTTTTACCGCTGTTTAAAGTTATTGACTTGAGATAGATGTTCTTATCACTTAAGAGATTTGCATAAGAATAGTTCATGATAGTTTTTATTCTCATAAGAATCTGATTTATGGTTCTATCTTTCCAGATGATGCGGTTAAAAGAGAGACTTAGACAGAAGAAAATTAATCTGCACTACACAACGGAAGCTGTTGAACTTCTGGGGACACTAGGCTTTGACCCTAACTTTGGAGCAAGGCCAGTTAAGAGGGTGATACAGCAATTAGTAGAGAATGAAATTGCAATGGGAGTCTTGAGAGGAGATTTCAAGGAGGAAGACTCCATCATTGTTGATGCTGATTCTTCACCATCAGCAAAGGACCTTCCTCCCCAAGATAAATTATGCATTAAGAAATTGGAAAGCAGTTCATCACTAGATGTTATGGTTGCAAATGATTAGTGTTCACTTCACTTTAGTCATCTCCAGGTTTAATTTGATAAAATGAGTTCAGATATTTTGTTTGAACTGCTACTTGACTTTTACATGAAAACTGTGTTCTTAAAACCTTCAATGGCAAGGTTTCTCTTCCAATATTCCAATTATGTAAAGAAAACTGTTGTTTACCGTATACAACGTGGATCATAATGAGGGCATTATCAGAGAAATTTTATTTTGAGTCCTCTTGGAAAGCAGTAGCCCGCTTGAACTGACTGTCAATCAAAACAATTTGGGTACCCAAGAGTCGTTTCTCTGTTAGGCTTCTTCTACAATTATTGGTGCTCTGGTCCTGGTTTCATTTCGATGACTTCTCCAGATCAGGCCACAGCAGCGTACTACGTATTATTCGCCATGTTTAATTACTTTACAATTGTTATTTTGAGCTCATTCACTGGATTGGCCCTGCATCTTCAAATGGCAACAGGAAACCCAATCTTGCACAACCCAAATTACAGATCAAATTGTATGTCTTCTTCCATCAAGCTCACGATTTGCTGGGAAAAGTCCTCCGCAGTTTGTTGTTTATGGCTTGGAATTTGATCCCGTTTTGCCTACCAACAAAAGAAACTGACTGTTGTTGAGATGGCCAACATAAAACAAGGCTTGAGGGTGAACCTATTCTCTACAAAATGTGGGAATGGGAACCAAAGCACCACATTAAAGTGGAGCCCAAGTAGGTTGTCTGTTTGACCCCAGTAGTGGGTCCCTCCTTCCTTAAAGTGATCCCACAGGAAGCTTCTTTGGTCAGCTGGACGGCACGGATGGGAGGACAGCAGCGATGGCGTTGCCGTCATTCGTTACCGTATTTATACTCTCTTCCTTTTCTCTCTATCTTTGAGCTTTGAAAAAAGTGAATAAATTATTAGTAAATAAATAAATAAAACAGAGCTCTTCTTTCTCTCTAATTCCACTGCTCTCAAAGCTACTTTCTTTTTTCTTTTCCAACTGTAAAAGTTTGATTTTTTTTTTTCACAAAAGAATGGCTAACTGTCATCCAAACGGCGTCGGATCGATAGTCCTCGACCGCCCTTCCACCACTGCCACCACTACCGGCAACCACTTCAGACTATGGCAAGCTTTCTCCGCCGCCGCATTCCGAAGAAAAATCTTCGACGCAGTAAGCTGCGGCTCCAGTTCTTGTCACCGCCTCCTGCTCATGGAAGAAGTGCCCAACGACACCGTCACGATAAAGACGGTCTTAAAAGAGTCCAACGAACCAAAAAAAACAGACAAAGTAGTGAAAAAACCCAACGACAGTGGCAAGTCAGAGAAGCTAGCGGATCTCTTTAACTTAGCGGAAGTGGAAACTGAGGCTGAGACTAAGAAGAAAGTGGAAACTTTGGAGGAGTTAAAGCGCGTGGGTAAGGAATTGCAAGTGGAAGAAGAAGAACAGAAGAGAAAAGCTGCGAGTAGAGTAAGGTTGCTTACTAAAGAAGACCCGGAAGCCAGAGTGACTTTGGCTATGCTCGGAACGATTCCGCCATTGGTTGCAATGCTTGATTATGAAGATTCTGATTCACAGATCGCTGCTCTCTATGCTTTGCTTAATCTAGGAATCGGAAATGACGCGTGAGTTAAATGACAAGTTCTTTCCTAATGTTGCTATTTATGTTTTTATGCTTTTAACCTTAATGTAGAATTATTGTTGTTGCTATGTTTTGTTGCTTTATTATGTTTTTTCTTGGACGTGTTTCTTGCCAATGTTGGGTTTTTTTGTTTAAGAGAAACTAAAAATGTCTGAAATGATTAAGGGAATTTGCATCGACAAGTCATTTTCCATGCTTCCAGGTCCTGTTATTTTCTTGAAACAGTTCCGGGTTGTCTTTAATCCTATTCATTTCCTCATATTCCTTCATGACATTTCCTGGGCATAGCTTTTGTTTTTTATCATGAAATATATTAGTTTTATTACTTAGAATTTAATTTCATTAATTCTTTGTAAAACCCTTTTGCAGGAACAAATCAGCTATTGCTAAAGCTGGGGCTGTGCATAAGATGCTAAAGCTTATTGAATCCCCAGATGCACCAAGCCAGGCAGTTTCAGATGCCATAGTAGCAAATTTCCTTGGCTTGAGCGCCTTGGATTCCAATAAGCCTATCATTGGATCTTCAGGGGCTATCCCTTTCTTGGTAAAAACTCTCAAGATTTTGGACAGAAGAAGCAGGTCTCAAGCAAGGCAGGATGCCCTTCGAGCTCTTTATAATCTATCCATCTCCCCATCAAACATTTCCTTCATTTTGGAAGCTGATTTGATACCCCTTCTGCTGAATTCCTTGGGAGACATGGAAGTTAGTGAAAGAATTCTTTCAATTTTGAGCAATGTAGTATCCACTCCAGAAGGTAGAAAAGGCATTAGTATTGCCCCAGATGCATTCCCAATTTTGGTTGATGTGTTGAATTGGACGGACTCGCCAGGGTGCCAGGAGAAGGCATCATACATTCTAATGGTGGTGGCACATAAAGCATATGGAGACAGACAGGTCATGATTGAAGCAGGCGTTGTTTCATCATTGCTTGAACTAACACTTTTGGGTAGTACGTTAGCACAGAAGCGAGCTTCTAGAATTTTGGAGGTCTTGAGAGTAGACAAAGGGAAGCAAGTTTCAGAGAACTTTGGTGGGAATATTACTGCAGCAGTGTCTGCTCCTATTTGCGGGTCTTCATCCTCTTCAACAAATCCAAATGGAAAGGAGTGCTTGGTGGAAGAAGAAGCCATGATGAGCGAGGAGAAAAAAGCTGTTAAGCAATTGGTCCAACAGAGTTTGCAGAACAATATGAGGAGAATTGTCAATAGGGCCAATTTGCCACAAGATTTTGTTCCATCAGAAAATTTCAAGTCCCTCACAGCAAGCTCAACTTCAAAGAGCTTGCCGTTTTGACCAAAAGTGGATTAACTATTGCAATTTGCAAGCATGGAGAATGAAGAAGAAAGTCAGCAGTTGGTCTTCTTTTTACAGCCACGTTGTGCTTTTTGTTTTTGTAGCATTTGTCAATGTATGATATTAGCCAATGTCAATACTCCACTGTCCTATCATAAGCTTTGTGGAAATTGTTTCTTTTGGCTGAGTTCAAAACTTCAAATTCATCCGTGTGTGATCGATCTGCTAGGGTCTGAATGACCTCTGCTGGCATTTATTAATGACAGTTAAAAAAAAAAAATCACTTTCGGGATCTGAATAGTGATTTACCATCAAGTCATAAACGATCTGAATGACGAAACCTATTCCAGGAGATAATTGGTTGTTTGTCAGTGGTATGGCATGCAAAACAGGAAAATCTGAGGGTTGATTTTGTCAATTAGATTAATGTTCTCGCCATCTCGGTCCCCTACCTCCCTGCAATTAAGGAGTCACTTTCAACCCCAACGCTGGTACTCTTTTGTCCAAAGCCTTGGCCCCACGCTTTAATTTTCCCTTTGTGTATTTTTCATCACACGCGCCTGTTAAGAACAGAGGTGTCCGTTATTTTCTCCTGCATAGAAACAAGGACCATTCATTGCAATTTCCATCTGGAATCTCTGGATTTACAGAGATGAATTTCTAGCTACTTATGCATTCGTAGAGGGAACATGGACTTGTTAAACCCTGTTTTTTTCTTTAGTTTAAACAATTCTATAATTTATCCGCTGCATTGACCTTGTTTACTGAGCTATAGTACATTATTTAACTACTAATCTAAATTAACAAGCAAATGGGGACAGAAGGAAGAAGAATCCGAGATGTTGGGCTACAATTAAAAAAATCTGCATTTTCTACCCTTCAGTTGTATTTATTCCATAAATGTTCATCATGGGTTACATGTTACAATTTACAATAGCCATCTTGTAGTAATGAAATCTTTATCTATATTATAACTTCACTCACTCTTGTTATCTCATTCTCCTGTCTTGTACTTGAGTTTTGTTGTCTGGCTTTGGCGTATATATCCTACATGGAAATGTGATCAATTTTGTTCATAAATTTATTCGCAGAGCAATTTTGTCCTTTTTCTCTTGCTTTTTATGAGTTCATTTTCCTTTTCTTCACATGGTCAATTTATTGGCTTCAAATACCAGAAGCTCATTAAAAAGATGGTCATGTTCTCAGGACTTCTAAGAAAAAAAATACAGACTTTGAAGTTGCAAACTTTCACAATGTTTTTGGGTTTTGAACCTAATTATCCAAATCAAAGCGTTTCAATTCAACCATATCTTTTCAAATCACAGTTGTTTAATCCAATTATAATGGGAAATCAACCATAATTTGGTCTAATTGTATCCTTATGGTTTGTCAATGAGAGCTATAGAAGACGGTGGCCATTGATAGAGTTGCATTTGTAAGGTAAAACGACTTAGATACTGCATACTTCATTGCCAAATGCAGGCCACCCAATGCTTGGAAAAGGTTCAGAACGTTTCAGCCATGGTGCATCAACCTCCCAAATCTTAATTAACCAAGCAAGTAACAAGCAGAGCAGTGCACCATTACCAATCATGACCAAGAATTTAATCGATGTCTTTTCATCTTTAATCAAATCATTTAGTTAAAAGCCTTACTTTTTGAGTTTCTTACTGGAAAGTGGATATAAAGCTCTCATTTGGTTAAAGACAATGTATCATGATCATCTACATGACAAACATGAGCATCCCAATGATGCAGATTTTCATACTTGGGAATGGAGAGGGTCCGGTCTCTAACGGGGCTATGGCATTAAATAGGACAGCAAGTTTTTTCTTCTTTGTGTGTCACTTACCCAAGTATGGTCACTGGTTCATAATCAAGTTGGGCCATCCAAGATTTCAAAGAATAATGAAACTACCTGAGTATGACATATGTGTTGGGGACCCATGGTACCCAATTTTTAAGCCTAAATTTATGGCACATTTTAGTACTCAAAATTTGATTCCAGGATTCTCTGTTTTGGTGTTTTAGATTTAAATCATCAGAAAGAAGTTTTGATGTTCAATTATAAGACCCAAATGAACAAGTTTGGTAGCCTATAATTAGTTGGAATTCATGGTATATATTTTCCTACCAAGAAATATCACATGGACATGACCTTGAATCTGATAAAGGCTGAAGATAGGAAAGAGAAAAGGTCAATGGGGTCATTTTCCACCAAAAGAAAATGATTAAAACAAAGTGACTTAGCAATTGGGGTCACGTTTGGTTTGTGGCCTGAAAAAATAACAGTCCAACTGTCCTTTGAGATGCCTCCTTTGTGGGCCACATTATCAGCCCAAATATTCATTTTAACCGGGACGACTTTTATCCCTCATTATTATTATTATTGTTTATGGACCATCCCTCATTTATTAGTCACAAATCTCTTTGTTTCTTTATTTTTTCCCGAACAATTCTATTATTATTTTTTTTTCCTGAACAATTCTATTATTCCTTTGAAAGAAATAAGATGGACATCCCTACACCTCATTTATTATATTCTCTTTTGCATTATATTAAAAAAAAAAAAGCTGAAAATAAAGAGGAAAGATCAAGATACCCTTATCTCAAGAGGGCCACATGTCAACTCCATTATTAGTGAGATATGCACACATTTTTAAAAAAACAGTATGTTGCCACCACCGAGATAGATCCTTAACCAAGCAATATATCTTAAAACCATGGAACATATTTATATTCATTTCATATTTACACCACAAACTTTATAAAAGCGAGACTCTGTACACATGGGATGGGGACGAGTTTTATATTCTTAGGACCAATTTTCTTTTTTCCTTAAAAAAGGTAATTCATTTGGCCCAAAACGTAGAATGCAATGTATGTGCGTGGGCCTGTGGAAGTGAAAAATAAAAGAGAACATGATGTTTTCATGTAAAATTGCCTGGAATTGGATATTGTATGGTGAGAAAAAAATGGGTTTTGAAAAAAAAAAGAAGGAATTGATGGATAATTTTTGGCATCAGTATAAAAAAAAATCTTCAAACAAAAAATTTAATACAAAAATAAATGTTTAAGAGTTTAATTGATTGCAAAAACAAAAAAAAGATTTTGATGATTATTAAATTCTAGTTCAAGGGCTTTTTTTGACCTTTTTGTCATAATATTTTTTTATATGAGTGATTATTTTAAAATAAATATACGTGCCCATAATTTTATTAATTTTTTTATATATTCTCTTAATTGAATTGGTATTATATGACCGAGAACAGGGCAATCATACAAAGCCCACAGCTTAAAACCAATTGATGCATGCCACAATCTATGGAAGCAAGCCATAGAAACTAGAATTTCAGTCCAAACGATGGCCGGCGAATTCTGCCATAGGGCAATCGATACCTTGATATCGTGCGGGATTCCCACCTATGCTCTCTACTCCTGCTCTTCAAATATACTACTTGATTTGGTAAATGGCTATAGCTACCAAAGAAACAGGCACTAGCCACCTACATATCCAAAACCCATGCACCTGCTTTTACAAAGTAGTGATCTGTTAAACATATATATATATATATATATATATGCTACTTGCTTCCAGTAATGGGGAGACACACTCCATCTGGAGCCAACCATATATTATCGGCACGCTTTTCTCGAACACCACAAACCTACACATATATGTGGAAACGGTTTAACATAATAAGTAACACGTAACGAAGGCCAGTAAAATTTCAGAAGCAAATATAAAGGCCAACTGAGTGCACTATTAACAGTATTTTAACCAGAGAGTTATGTTAGAAAGCAATCAAAGTAAGCGATCACACACAATGATGAGCTAGGAAAAATCAAATATTGTATAATATGCTTAAGACAAATATATTTCCAGAATTGAATTTAGTTGAAAGAAGAGCAAAAAGATGAATTACTTGTGATTCAATCATAGACATAGCAAGGCATCTGTATTGACTATTTCATGCTTAATATCATATTAATATTCAGAAATATTTCCATTCTTACCTCTTGCTGTCCACCAGCTATTCTGGTGTATTTCTTGTCATGACCATGCAGGTAGCCACCAGTGTCAACATGCTGAAACCGGATCCTTTGATCTTGCTTCCAAGTCTTCCCACTTCCCTCAATAATGAGTCTGAAGAGGATTGTCCAATAATGAAGCACCAGCAAAACAGAAAACCAAGAAAGATAAACATAAATTTGACAACATGACAATTTAGGCTTCACCTCCAATAATCACCGGTATCCGATTCTGATTCTCCACCAAAGCAGCTAACCTACACTCAACATAAGGATAATAAAACATTATCAGTAAGTCTGAATGCAAAGAAGAGAAAGCATGGGCTCTACTTTCAAAAGCTATATTTTATCCGTTAACAGATTTAGAAAAGAAAGCATCACGGTCTTCTAACATCCATGAACATTAGCTTAAAAATTGAAAAAAATTTGAGAATTCAAGCTATAACCGGCCATTGAAACATGTGAAAAATACTAACCTCTAGTTTTCCTGATATTGGGGATGCATGCAAGTGGCTATGCAGCCATTTTCTAGTGCTCGTGTTGCAACCTAATAATTGCCCCATTAGGGATGCTGTCTCCTAGCTTAGCAGATGTATCAGGTGGAGGCCTAACAACCTGCAAAGCATAGTCCCAAATTCAATTGGATGAAGAAACATACTCTTACAACACCATTAAATGAGAATTTGACCGCAAAAAGTAGTAAAAAATACAAGATTCACCAAACTTGAATTCAACTTTCCAAAATTATTTCAAACTCCATTGAGAAAAGAAATGTAGAAACAAAGGCACATACATACCAATAGCCAAAACAAAAGAAGAATTTCATTTTCTTGAACCATATGGATGCGAATTCTAAGTGAAGGACACAACAATATTATATCACAGTGTTAATTTGTGATTGAAGCAAACAAAAATGTTTACTATTAAACTTGGAAAAGTTCATTTGTCCACTACATTAACCATCAACAAAGAGTTAGGTTGCAGAATGTAGTTAAAAAAAAAAAATACAACGACAACAATAATAAAAACATCTGCAAAATAAAATTGACGAAAGGGCAAAAAGGTCCTTGAATTAAATTCAATAATTATTCAAGTATTTAATATTTGTTTACAATCAATTATACCCTTAAACATTTATTTTTATCAATCGAGCCCTTTTCAGATTAAAAATGGTAAACTATTTCTGTTGAAATTGAGAATTTAATTTAGTGAAAATAGATTTATAAGGATTCAAGGATTCGATTGAATGAAAATAAATATTAAGAGTATAATTGACTTGAAATAAAAAAATTAGGGTTCGATTGATTGTAATAAAATATTATGAGCTTAAATGACCACTAAATTTTGTTAGACGGCTTTTTTTTACCATTATGCCACTAAAATTCAACTTTCCTAAACTACTTCGTAAGATCAGCGTCGAAGAAGACAGCTAGAGAGAGTACCCAGTAGCTGTTGGAGTCATCTATATTAGGAAAACCGGTGACAGATTGCTGTCCACTGCCAGAACCGCACGGTACATCTTGTGAATGCAGCCTAAATTTTGTTTTCTCGTGCATTGGCTTTAGAACCGTCCCATAAGTAATCTCGACGTTTTGGGAGGAGGTGGTGGCGGAGGCGGAGGAAGGAGAACCTTGATCATAATCTAAATTGATGAAGAGGAAGAGAGCAAGACCGAAGAATACCATCGCCATCATGAATAGTAGTAGCCCGATGAACCAATTCTGTTGCCGAAATGCATAATCGACCTTGGGTTTCTTTCTAGAATGATCTCTTTGAATTACTCTGCTCGCCCCTGGAGTTGACGACGGAGACGGCTTTCTGCGGGAGAGGCTTGCGGCCCCGAAGGCGCCACGGTGGATAAAACTTTTTCAAATCTCACGGAAACTTTACGGTTTTGTGGAGGGTTTTTTCAAATCTCAAAAACATACATTCAATATTTTTACGTGGATACGAGATAGGGAATGGTTTTTTCCTTTTTCGAAAGAGGAAGGGAAGGGAAAAATGTTAATCGAAATATTTAGTTGGTGTAAAATATTAAATAATTTGTATATTATTAATAAATGATTGATTTAATTAATTAAAATTTATTTTTTTGATAAAAAAATTTTGATTTAAGTTATGTAAGTGATTATTTATTGAGATCATTTTAAATGTATAATATGTAGTTATTTATCTTAAATTATTAAATATAATATATTTTACTAGATTAAATAATTTATTTGTTTTTTATTTTATGAAATAAATTATATATTTATATTTATTTTACATAAAAATTATATAATATAATTTGTATCTACATAAAATATTGAATATATGTTTTTGAATTTATTAAATTTATATATAAATTTTTTATAAATTTAAATTATGTTATTTTTATTTTTTTTATATTTTTTTCATGCCATAACATTATATCATGTTTAGATTATCCCTTTAACCATTTTATTCAACTTTGGGCTCGGTTGGGTCTGGATCTAATCAAATTTTGGGCTAAAGATTTCTTTTCAACATATTGTCCAATTCTAACCCAACACAACTCTATCCAATTCATTATCCAAAAAATATATTAGCATTTTGTAATTTTATTTTATATGCAATATAGTTGTATACTAGTAAAATATACCCTACCATATGCTAATTATTAATATTAATAATAACACTATAGTTCTTTTCAACCAAAAATATGATGCTTTGCTATAATTTTTTTATTAATTCTTAAAATCTATACATATTATTACTAAATATGCACTTTTGTGTTTTAATTGATAATAATTCATCAATAACAAAAGATCCTAAAACTTATGTTTTCCTATATATGTATACTTACGTAAATTTGCCACTCAAATATTGTTCATGGTTCTCAAAATTTCCTTCTCCTTTCAAACATTAGGTTGATGTGTGTGTGTGTGTGTGTATATATATATACACACACACACACACACCTATGTCTTGCCATTTCTGATGCTTTGTGCATCATATCTCTTCTCAAAACCCCGTAATTTTTCATCCAATATTGTTTCTTATTGCTGGCTTTCCTTTTTTTGGGGGCCAGCAAACGGTACTTCCTTCCTCTTCTATTCTTTGCTAATGGATTTGCTTGCACGATTGAATTTATCTAAAAGATTTCTCTGGTGTCTTAATCAACAATGTCTTAACCATTGAGAGTGGCATTGGTTCCCAATGAATCACCAACAGTATCAATATGATGAAGAAGATCAAAACAACCGTGATTGACTTACTGACCAATGTACATTAGATAGAATTAAATTCCACCAATAAACAAAATCCATTTGGTTGTAAAGTCAACTAGCATTATGGAGCTCCCCATGCTTTGTCTGGTTGTTTGTAGGAAAAAAAACAATGAGATGGGTCTAAGTCAACTTGCATAGGTTGTAATTCTTCTATATCTGTAGAAATGTCACGGGCAGGCAGCCTGGCCTGAACAGTGGTCAGAAGATTGTTTAACTTTTACATGATGAACTCGTCGTGGACGAAGAAAACTAGCAAGGAGACATCTTGTCAAATACTGGTAGCGTGTAGCAAGAGATTCACTTAGTTTGAGTCATATGCTAAAAACATGTACATGCATTTGTCTAAAATTGACGATTTGTATATTTAAATTAAATAAAAAATATTAAAAATTTATATTTATATCATATTTTATATTATAATTTATAATAAAAAATAAAAAATATATTTTTTATTTTTATTAAATACATATAATTATTATTAAAATTTAAATAATATTATTTTTATGTTAATTTTATATTATATTATATATCATATTTTAAATTACTCAATTTAAGTCTGCCATTACAAATGTTTTGTCGCATGGGATCGCTTAATGCCCATGGTCCAAAGCTATTAAAGAATCGAAAAAACGACTGTTAATTATTTTTTACGCCAGCAATGACTTCCCATAAAAAATTAAAAAATATATTTTCAAACATAGTATACTAGCACCTTATGGGATAAGGACCATCTGAAAAATCTTAGAATCAGCTTAACATATATTTTTTAGTTTTATTTTTTAAATGATTCGATTTTTTTTTTAATAAAGTAAACGCATGAATTAACAAGTTAAATATTCCTATGCAAATTTAGTGTTGTACCAATGTTAATGTTAAAATAGTACTTTGCAATAATATTTCATGTATAAATATATTTTCAACATAAATTACTTGCAATTTTTTTATATAATTACAAAAATCTGATTTTTTTTATAAGAAAAAATTATAGAATAGATAAGTTGTTCAGTTACCTAAATCAAGGTAAGATGTATCGCACTTTATAACTTAAAATAAGTGATTGCATATCGTATATTTGAGATGATCTTAATAAATAATTATCGACATGACTCAAATTTAATACCTTTTCATAAAAAAGAATGAGCTTAACCAATTATCGAATAGGCAACTGACACCATTGATAGTTAAAATACTATTTAAAAAAATATTTTTACTTTTAATGTGTTGTTTTCAATTAAATTCAACAAAAGACAATACACTTTTATGTTATATATGCTTTATATGATATAATTTTTACCAATCAAATGAACTATCCATATTGACTTACAATGTATATGTCTATCTACTAACAATAATGAAACTTCAGTTCTTGGAACAATGATGATGGAGAAAAAGCAATGAAAAAAAAAACGTAACTAATATGGTTTATTTATTATTATTATTATTTATTTGATAAATTAATATAATTTATTATTTTGCATTTCTCAAAATTAATTTCAAACATTCAATATGCCTAAATAATAATAAAATTGAAATATGAAAATCACTTAACATAAGAAAAAAATGAAATTTGAGACGTGCATGCATGCATTCATATATAGCATATAGTTTTATTTTATACATTACTTGATTTTTTTAATCTTTAAAAAGGAAAAATTTGAAGAGAGATTTTCCCAGATATTAAAGTATCCTAATTCACTAATTGTTAGTATTTTTCAAAGTATTTTTTTGGTAAATATTATTATGTAAAATTTCTTATCTGTATTTCCATAAAAAGGAAAATCATTTCCATTATTGAAAAACTGTTTCGAAAATTGCATTTATAAGTAACAATAGAATCAAGCGGTCCAAGAAACCCCACGCGGTCCCCACATCCTGAAAATCCAAAGGTGGATTTGACGAGTTTAATTTAACTCCAATTCATAAGCGCGGCGGAATCCGAGCAAAGCCTGGGTGCGGGTGGGTTCTCCTTTAAAGCCAACAAAAAATTCTTGAAAATAATTTTTATATAATTTATTTCTTACAATATTCCCCCTGCCAAAGTTTATATTCACCAAAAAAAAAAAAAAAAAACCTCATAATTTCTTGAAAAAAAAAAACAAAACCCTAACGTTCTCTCGAGTAAATCCCCTTTCTTTTTAGCAGAACTGCTTGTTTCCTTTTCGATTTGTGGTTTTTCGCGCGAGTTTTTAGGTTTTCAATGCTGTGAAATCGAGGCATTAAGACTCAGATTTTAAAGATCCGTTTCTGTATATTTAGTTACATAATTGTTTTTTTGTTCACAGAGAGAAAAAGCTATGGCGGCATCTGATAAAGAGCTGGAGCTACTGTTAATGGAGGCCGGGAACAAGCTCTTGGAACCTCCTTCGTCAGTTGATGAACTCATCCTTCTCCTCGACGTAATCCGTTTCACTCTTCGCTTTTTATTCTTTGATTTATGTGCTTTTATTATGCATGCGTTATCTTTTTTTTTTTTGTCTGATTTTTATTTTTATGCCATTAAAGTTAGTTCCATTTCCCCCATCATGATCTACTTTTACCTTTGTTCTAAAGTTTTCTTATTTTGCATGTTTTCACGTGTTTAATTCTGTTTCTGCCATTACCGTTATAAGCTTGAATCAGTTTAAAAATATTTTTCTGCTCATGGATATTGTTTAACATTCTAGCTATTGCCATTTGTCTATATCTTTTGTAGATATATTGCTCCTGTATGTTTTCGAATTTGCTAAATGTTTGATATGTACAATGGGTTTGCTTTACCAGGTTTTCAATGCTAGAATGTTATGTGCTTTTGATTGCAAAATCTATGTAGTAACAAATGTTTGGATGTAATGGTTTGAAGTTACGAATTTCTTTCAAATTCAAATCTGCGCGCGATCTGCATTTAAGTGAGTGTATATGTGCACGCGCGCGTGTTTCTTGTCTATATGTGGCATAACGGTCTTGATTCTTCCTAAAGGGAATCCCACATCGGGCTTTATGTATGTGAAATCTGAGGAACTGGTATAATAAATATTGTCCTTGAATTTTTGTTTAGTTAAGTAAGCACGAGTTATGTTTGGCAATTAATTTCCGAGGGGTGAGGTAAAATTTTTGATGACTGAGTTGTGATGGCGTTGAAAGCAGTGAAAGGTAATATGGAAAGTATGTGTAGATATGTGTGAAAACATTCCTAGTAAGGAAGTATATTTTTGGGCATGTAAGGTTATGTTTTTATCGCATAAAACATCGATGTTAATAGACATTCTTTGTTGTAAATATCTTGTCTGTTTCCTCAGAGGGACGACACATAGCCAATGTTGTTATTTTTTAATGAATTTTATTAGATCATATTATCATTTTCTCATTTTCTTCTATACCTTTGGAGGAAGATCTGTTCTGCCGTAATTTTAGATGTCTAACGAAGGGAGCTATTACAATCCAGGATGAATGCATATTATGAACCGAAGTTCAATTGCACACTTGGTAATGTCCCTTATCATGATGGTCTTTGCAACCTTTTCAGTTTTCTCCTGCTCCCTTACTCTATTTCAAATGATAACAATATTAAAACAGATTCTGGAATTTTGAAAATCCAAGAAATTCTGGTGCTGTCCCCTGTTTAGACAAGGTTATATGTATTCATGATGCCAAGAAAGAAAACTTTGAAGGTGATGTGCAAAAAAGTGGTGGTGGGCACTGTTCAGGCAACTTTTCATCATGGATGGATTGTTTGTTAGGGATCAATGTCTCTTTTAAGCTATCTCCTTAGATTTAGTATTTATTAGGGTTTTATAAATTTTCTTTCATACATGCTGCCAGAAAACTGTGTATCAATCCCATTGTAGAATGACTCTTTAAGAATATGGAAATCTAAGCAATTGCAGTGTGATTTCAGAGATGGGTACTTGCTGATGTCTTAGTTGTATAGCTAATTAGTGTGATAAGGGTGTTAGATACCTTTAAATTTGTCTTTGGTTTATAGTCAATATGAACTAGAATGATTTTTAAGTATTTTTCCGTTTTTGTCTCCCTATTTGAAAAGGGATACTTTAAGTATTGCTTTTGTTCACTGCCAACTGTACCCTTGCAGTCGGCTGTATTTCCTTTTAAGTCTGTTTCTTTTCGTAGAACATTATTGATGTGTAGATAATTTTTGAGTCCTTTGAATCTTGGGATGATCAGCTGATTGTCTGAATTTTTACGTTCTTTAGTATCCCTTCTGTTGTGCCTTATGCTAGTTTTTCTTTTTTGGCAAACACCTTTTACATGGATGATGATTTTTCACTCTTTTCTATCCTATGTAAATATAGGAACTTGAGAGTTTTCTTTCGAGAGTGGAACAATCACCAAGCCCATCAATGCAAAATGCACTCTCTCCATCACTCAAAGCATTGGTTGCGGAGCCGCTTTTTAGACATCCTGATGATGATGTCAATGTTGCAGTTGCTGCTTGCATCAGCGAGATAACAAGGATAACTGCACCAGATGCTCCTTATGATGATGACCAAATGAGGGTACTTTGAATTCATTGTTTGTGGATGCTTTTGCAGATTTCATGATCATTTTAAAATCCTTTTGATTCATTTGAAGTATTGATTCCTATTAATGTGTGTGCAGGAGGTCTTTCAACTAATTGTATCATCGTTCGAAAATTTATCTGACAAGTCCAGCTGCTTGTACGTTAAGAGGACCTCGATTCTTGAAACTGTTGCCAAAGTCAGATCATGTGTGGTGATGTTGGACCTCGAATGCGATGCACTAATCATTAAGATGTTCCAGCATTTCCTTAAGGCAATAAGGTACAAACTAACTTATTAATTGGATAGTTGCATTCTTTTGTTGACATTTGTGCATCAACGTAAATCTTTGGCTATTGTTTCCTCTTCATGTATTAAGTGATGACATGGTTGCTGTGAACATTTTAATATGGGTTTAATTGATAGACTGCAATATAGGTGTTTGAAAATAGGGATTATGGTCCCCCTTGAGTTTCTGGAACTTAAAGGTCTCATCAATTAGGTGCTTGTTTTAGATTTGGTAGACGGTGGGAAGGCCAGTAATTTACAAATTGATTTCCTAATCTTCAGTTCTAGCTAAACAAAACAAAGTTTAAGTGCTCTTGTCAGAAATTGGTCTCTCTTCCCTTCTTGGAGCTTTTGTGTTTCTTGTCATCTTCTTATGGCTTTTCTATGTTGATTTTATGTTTAATACAGGCTTGTTTCTCAACTCAAAATTTTGTTGACATTCTTATAATCATCCTTCTATAAGGGTACTTTTCTAGAGTAGATTACTATTATTAAAAAAAAAAAAAAAAGAGAATAAGAAAGTGGTTTAGAATATTATGCACAGCTTGCATCCCTTATTTTCCTTATGATTCTTTTTGTTTGCTTTTCAGGGATTACCATGCAGAGGATGTCTTTACATCAATGGTGACTATCATGACCCTTGTATTGGAAGAAAGTGAAGACATCTCTGTGGAGCTGCTCTCCCCAATCTTATCTAGTGTAAAGAAGGATAATGAGGTCTGTTATCATATGAGTAACTTATTACCTTTTACTTCTACAAACTTCTTAATTCACCTAGCACTTATATCTCCCGTCAGGAAGTTCTTCCTGTTGCTCGGAGGTTGGCAGAGAGGGTGCTTGAAAACTGTGCTTCAAAGTTGAAACCTTACCTAATGCAAGCTGTAGAGAACTTGGGCATTTCTTTTGATGATTATAGTAGTGTAGTTGCTTCTATATGCCAAGTGGCACCTATTGCTGTGGAGCAGAGTGATGCGACTACTGACAAACGTGTGGTAATTATCTAATTTGTATCTGAACCTAAATTCCATAAATCCTTTTTGTTTTGTGGCCAATTATTTAGTCATTTTGTGCAGTGGTTCTGTATGCATTTCCGCTCTGTGTTGTTTACAGATATAGATTATGTGCTACTTGATTATAAAATGTTTAACGCTTTTTATTTAATTTGTGTATGACACTTTGTTATTGTTCTTTTTGTGTGTTTACTTTTCTCAATTCTTCTGTTCAAGATATCCTTCTAATCGGGACAAGTTTTTGCCTTGTGTTGACACCTTACTGATATCTTTTATGCCTTCTTCGGTGAGCATTGAGTTGATTTAGTCTCCTTAATTTTTTTTTTTGGTTAATTTGCTGTAGGATGATGAGAGCAAACCAGCAAAGGCACCTTTGGACAAGGCAGCCCAGGCACGTTTTGTTTCATATAGTTAGTTATTGTCAATTGCCAATGTTCTATGTGTGTGTTTGTGTGGATTCAAGTACTTCATTTTTTTTTATTGTATTCAAATTTTGTTGTTAGACTTTAATGTTTGAAATTAGTCATTTATAAATCCTTATATTCTGTACCAGGAGAATAAAGAGAGTCCTAAAGTAACTGTTTCAACTGCACAAGACGATCTTGCAAATGAAAAATCTTCCAAGTCAGTTGTTAGCAATGGCATTGTGCAAACTGCTGAAGACGACTCATTGGCTGATTTAAACTCCTTAAAGAAGCAAGAGGATGACCATCTTGCTGATAAGTTTGAGAATGCTGATACATTAACTGTTGCTGAACCTGATATATTGGAAACTGAGAAAGTGGTCAATTCAGATTCTAAGTCAGAGCAAAGTACCCAGGAAAAAGGAAGAAAATCTGATTCCAAATCAACAGAACCTTCTGACAGCTCTTATGTCAATGAGAAGGAAGCTGAGACCTTAATGGACCATAAAAATGACAGCAAGGATGGTGCTCATTCACCTCATGAGGATCCTTCTCTTGATGAGGCTGGATCCTTGCAAAATAAAAGAGAGACTGATGTTCAGCCTTCCTCACCAAAAGTAACTGAGGATGAATCGACCAATGTTGCTTCCCCAACACCAAGTGGGACCATACCCGATGAGAGTCATCCCAGTGGGGCTGCACGGCAAAAAAGGAAAGAGAGCTTGAGCAAGGAGAATACACCTGTTGAAAATGTCACTAAGAAGGCATCTGAAGGGACAAGTGATTCAGAAGCAAAAACAAATAGACAATCAGGGAAAAAGGTTTTTATTGAGGTTTCCAATGAGGATAATGTTCTAGCTGATGTAGATGAAACTAAGAAAGAAAGTGGCACTGCAAGTGATTCAGAGGCAAAATCACTGAAGCAGTTGTCAAAGAAGATAGATTCTAGCAGTAAAAATGTAGATGGATCGTCTTCAAGGCAACTGGAGGATGAGAAAAGGCGAGGTCGGGGGAAAGTTGTTCCTGAGAAGGATGGAACAAAAACCTCAACCAAGAATGATGATGAGGTTCTTTCTTTTTGGCTTTGAAGTTGTTACTTAGCTATTCCATTGATGTTGTTTATTCAAAGCTTTAGTATTTATTATTTTAGCTGTTATAGATACTTCAATCAAGGGAATCAATGTTGTGTTATTATTTATTTAGGAAATGGTTGCTTCAACAAAGTCAGTCAAGCCAAACAAACATGATTCTCACATGGAGGAGACCCCTAAGACAAACCCCAAGAGAAAGCAGACCCCGAGTAAAGAAAAAGTAAGTCTCTAGGTACAAGAGTGTTGAGATTGCATGTCTTCTACTTTTTTGTGTCTTTTTATACCTTTCAAGCTGATATTTTATTGGTGGTGTATTTTAGTTTCAGCAGGTTGGTTTTTAAATAAAACGGGCATCATAAGTGGTCTTTATGATGATCCTTACGGGTTTGAACTCTTAATAGATTCTCCATTCTTACATCCTTGATGATTGTTTTACTAATCACAGGCCAATTATCTTTTCTGTCATCTTCTTAATCCTCATGTTGGCTTTCTTCTCCATATTGATGCTGATTGACTGCATTGAAACTTTAGCTTTTCTAGGAGCATTTTATTTTAGCTAATCTTTCTACTATTTTTTCTTTTTCATCTACTCTCTCTCTCTCTATCTTTCATATTACTTGCCTCCCTCCTTACCTTTTTCTTCGTTTCTAAAATATATCCTCTCTTTTCAAAATGATGCCTATCAAGCAACAATGCTGCTTTTAACCATCTTTGAGTTCATTTATCTTTCAAGAGGCGTTTGATACTGCTTTGAGTTTTTCACAAGGTTCAAGTTTTTTATTTTGTTTCCTTGGAGCAGTAATCCTGCAATGCCTTGCAAAAAACCAGTATTAGACCAATGCTCTGCTGCACCTCAATTGCTTGTGTGGGTGCTAACTTTTATATTTTCTTTTGCCGATTCTTGATATTATAGCCATTTGCGTTTTATCTTGCATTATGGAAAGATTTCTGAGGATATAAGCTGAAATAATTCTGTATAAAATATTGTGAACGTTTTATTTGACTTTGTCCATACGTGCTTGAATCTAAACATGGTTAAAGCAATGATTTTGCATATCCTTCTTATGGAGACACTCGATTTCTTTTTCATATTGACTCTTTGTCAGGCATCTGGTTCTATAGAATATGGTGAGAATCTGGTTGGCTTGAAGGTGAAGGTCTGGTGGCCCAAAGACCATATGTAAGTATATGTATGTGTGTGTATATATATATATATATATATTCCTTGTTTTATATTTCACAAGCGTTACAGAAGGTGATATTCTGAAATAGAAACCATGAAATTTTATTTGTTTTGTCTTTTCTCTTATATGTGTATGCATGTGTGACAATGCATCTTAATGTGTGAATGTGTATCCCCTACCCAGATCCAATTTCTCTTGCTTATATAATTATTATACGTGGATCTCCCCCTCTCTCCTTGTTGCTTAGCAGTTGGTCTCGAATTGTAAGGTCAATGAATTAAAATTTCTTTCTTGCCTTGCTCCTTATTATCATTTTATAACCTTCTTTTATTTTCCTTGTTCTCACATGCTCAAATCTTATATATTTTCGTAGGGGAAAAAAAGACTAATGGAAAGTGTTCTGTTTCAAATATTTTGTGTCTGCAAATATAAGATTTGAGTGTGTAAAAAAAGTTAGAATATGAAGAGATAATAAAACCCCACATTTGATGAAAACACAAAAAATTGGCATAGACAACTACCAGCAGTTACCAGTGAACCACCTGTGGTTCAAGGTTAACCACTGGTGGTTTTCTCGATCCTACAGAGCAAACTCTTCAAAACAGAACACTTATAAGACAATTGAAAGAACAAGGTAAAAAAAGATAAAAAGGAAAGACTATCCCACCTATCTTTTCTATCTTCTCTTTCTTATAAATCGAATCAAACTAAACACATTTTTCCTTCTGGAAAAATGGCATCTCATCTCCTTGAAGTTTGTGCTAAGATATACAGAATAGAAAGAGTAAATAGATTGTGCTAGAAAGAGTAAATTACTTAGTTGTTCTGAAAGATGTTGTCTCAAGTGTCATATGGTTCTTTATCTGTGACTTTTTGTTTGGAACCTTTTGCTGGAGGGTTAATTTACTTCTTCATTCTTTGTCAAATCATATTTGTGTTGTTTAGATTTTTTATGCCTATGCCTTGACTGACTTTGGTCAAGTAACTTAAAATGTAAGTGCACATTTATGGGAGATTTTCTTTATATGGCACTTGAATTATGGTTCAATTCTGTCACCCCTTATGGATGCTATTCTTTTTACAGGTTCTATGAAGGTGTTATTCATTCATTTGATTCTGTTAAAAAGAAGCACAAGGTGACACCAAATAAGATAGAAGTTTCCTTTTATGTTTTACTTTTCCTGCATATGTTCCATGAGGTTTTATCCCTCTGATTGTTCATGCTAGAATGTATTAAATTTTTTCTTCATTTTCATTTATCTATAGGTGCACTATATTGATGGTGATGAAGAAATTTTAAATCTTAAGAGAGAAAAATGGGAGGTGATTGAAAATGAGTCTGGGTCAAATGAGGTGGGTAGTTTTCTGGTTTATAGATAACTAGCTTTTATTTGTTTCATGTTCTGCATTGCTAATACTTCATTGAAACAGGAAGAAGCAGCTGATCCTCTAAGTCCTGATAGTTCATCTGAAATGTAGGTGATTCCTATTTTAATTCTTTAATGTTAAATTTGATTGCTTCACAACCTTGGTACTAGATGTTGTCTGTGTATTTTGACATTGTATGATAAAACTCTGCTACATCGTTCTGTGCTGTGTAAGTTGATTCATTTTCCATTCATTAACAAGGCTAATTTTATGTGAATGTATAGTTTTAGTTTAGGGATTATTATGTTTGATATAGCTTTGCATTTGCTTGTTGGTTTCTTGGGCTCTGTGCTCTATTTCTGTCCAATATTCTTTTATTTTTGGCCTATCTTCTTTTTACCTTGTTTTAATTTCCATTAACAGGCCTCAAAAGAAGAAAGCAAAAACAGCTGATCAGCCTAGCAAGAAAACTAAGATGGATGCTTCACCAAAAAGGTTGTTAAATTCTTTCAAATCAAACAGCTACTTTTCCTTCTTTGATTTCTGAAAATCCTATAATTGGATGGCCAGGGGTGGAGGAGCTTCATCTGGAAAATCCAAGGGTTCTGCCACAAAGTCTGGCCGCAAAACAAAGGAAGATGGTAAAGTGGATGGCAAATCCAAAGATGGCTCCAAAAGTGTTAGTAAATCAGACAATGAAAGTGCTACCAAAGCCAAGGACCATACTCCCAAAAGTGGTAGTACATCAGTTGACGTTGAATCAAAAGTAGGCAACAAATCCAAGGATGAAGAAGGTGGTGAGACACCCAAGTCTAGCAAATCCAAGGATGATGATAGAGTTACACCAAAAGCTTCCACAAAGTCAGAGCAAGATGCTTCAAAGACAGCCAAGTCCAAGACGGAAACCCCCAAGATTTCCTCCAATTCTAAGGGTAAGCCTCTTAAAAGTGGTGGCAAATCTAATGCTAATGGTACTTTTAAGTCAAAATCTGGTTCATCAAAGGTGAAAGAAAGTGAGAACGTGAAGGAGAACTCAACTGACTCTGCAAAGGTTGTGGAAAGTGGGAAGCGGAAATCACCAAGTTCGTCCAAGGTGCAGGACAGTGATTCCAAGTCTGGAAAAAAGCGACGAAGATGAGCTGAAAGTCACTTCAACTGCAGAGTCATTGCCAAGGGCTGGTTCGTCTCCAATGTGGAACTTGGCTTAAGCCTTCTTAGATGTCCAGGCGATGCGTTCACAGCTAGTCATGCATTTGGTATTGGGGTAGTTCTTAGGTTTCGTGGCTAGCAAATATTCAGTGAATGTAGTTTATAGTGTTTGTAGGGTTGAGTTTTTGTGGCTACAGATGGAATTCCTGTTAAGGTGCAGCGTTGGAGGATACAATTGGGTTAGCCTTTTTGCCTTAATTTAAGAGTTACTTCTATAGATAATATAACAGATTCACAAACATTGTCGAAGCACTGGGTGGTTGGCGGATCATCTGTTCAATGCCTTTGGTCCTAATGAATGCATTATTTATCGTGCATATCCAATTTAGCGCGCATCTTTGTTCTTGCATATCATACAATGAAAAAGGGCAATTGGTTTTCAAGACTGTTAGTCTAATAAGTAATTGGCTTTTCCAGCAAGCTTTGGTGTGTACAGTGTCTATTAATGGTGGTAGTGATATCCTTCCCACTTTATACAGTTGAGTTCTTGGCTGTCACAGCAACTACTGCAACGCCATGATCTCATTGCAACGAACTTACTCAAAAACTTTGCTTCTTAATTCCAACGCCTCTCGTCACTTCTCTTGTTATACATAATATATATAGTTAAATAATCAATTTTATAAATTTTTTTTCTTTTGATGAATTATATGTAATAGCTCCAACTTTTGGGACTCTATATGGCCGCAATCCCCGCATGCAGCATGTATACGCTTGCCCCCCACTTGGGTGGTACGGAAAAATAGTGGTTTTACCTTTGTTTTTGCAGCTCACAATTCAGAACATAAAGTTAGTATGGTAGCATAGATTTTATTTGGATGGGAATTGGGTAGTGAGCTCTTATTCATCGTTGGTTTCTGTACTCTTATCCCTTTTTTTGTCTATATCGTTGCCCTGTTTGGTCGTTTATTGGTCAATTGTTACTGCAATCATATCTTTAAAGAAGAGGACGGAAAGACCTGAAGCTACGGTTCATGAAGCGATGGTGACCTTCCTTTGTCCATTTGCCCAAAGGTATCGGTTCTAAATGATTATGCACTGCAAATGCAATCCCTCAATCCTCAATGCCTTTTCCCTATATATATAAATATATTATATTCACTGTACTTCTTTCGTCTGTAGGTTAGGGCTCTCCATTTTTTTTTTCTAGAATGAAATATTGGGCCTCCAAGAAAACAGAAAACCACAATCCAAATGAAAGAAAACCCAATAAAGAGAAAATCTAGAGTCTCAAGAATCCAAAATGGATGGAGTAAAAATAAGAAATCTATCCCATACATAATATGCTTGAAATTAGATACCTACTTAAGTGGATTTAGCCGATGAGGAAGCATTTATGAGATAAAAAAGAAAACAAGAAACAAGACAAGATAGCTCATTTTTTCAACAGATTGTCGGATGCAAAGATGAGGATGGAAGGTCAAAAGTTGTAATCTTGCTAAAGATAAAAAAAAAAATATCAATTCACCAATAGTCAAAAAGATTAATTAGATATCTTTGACTTGCATAATTGTGGGAAAGAGGCTAGATTTGGCCAAATACAAGATCATAAAGCTGGCCTTTTGTATCAAATTTGCATCGGGTAAAAACTTTTTTTTATATAATAAAAATTTAGTGAACTCAGAAAAAAGATCTGATAGACCTTTGTAAATGATGTCAAAATGCAAAAGCGTAAGTATAACTTTTAAAATAAATATATAAAAAATAATATTTTTTAAATTTGATTTATTTTATTAATAAAATAATATAATTTAATTTACAAATAATATATAAAATTTTTACATTAATAATATATCAAATATAAACTTATAAAATATATATATATATCATGATCTTGATTTAAAAGAAGTATTAAAAAATTACTAATAATATGATGCGGAGATAGCGGTGCTTATTTAAAAGGATTATATATGAATCAAAGCAGAATATAGAAATATTCCAAGCATATATACACTATATAATATAGAAATATGTTGACATGCAGCATCCAACTCGGTGTATGCGAATAAATGTTAATTAATTACGATTTTTTAATCTTAATTTATCACTAATTGACATTGCATAATTTAACATTTTTAAAAAATTTTTTTAGGGTACATGAAAAACTATGAAGGTGCATATTTATTAATTAGAATTGCATTTGCAGACAAAGTTTGATTTAATTGGTAAAAAGAAGAAAATTTTTCTTTTTTTAACAGTCAAAATTTGATTTTTATAAAAATATTTTAAAATAAATTTTAAATACATCAAATCAATCACTAATTATATGAAAGATAATATTGCGTAATGTACATTGCATTCGCGTTCTTATCTATATCTTAATTATTTTGTCGAATGCAGCTGTGGCAATCCGATTTTGGAAAAGTTACGGAAAATGGCAAGAAGTTAAGAACTTTTGGCGGTCAAAAATAGGGCCCAATAGCTTTAACCATAAGCTTGTTCAAAGTTGAAACAAGCCCAATAATTGCATCAAATAGCCACTTGTCACATGGGTTTGTAATCCACTTGCCTAATGCCAAAGATTCTTAGACAAACTCTCCCATTCACATGGAAACATGCATCTATGTCCATCCGAATGTCTTGTCCAAAAGACATCCAACGCAAGAAAATAATACAGATGAATGAATACATAATAAAGATTTCCATTAAATTGTAATTTGTAATAATTAAGGGAAGGTCAGAGAGTGGGAAGGGTAGGGTTGGCCTTAGAACGGATGAATGAATGAATGAGTGGTCCTCCATGATCCATCCCTAAAGTTGTAAGTTTTCAAGTATTTAAATGAGAAAAAGAAAAGTGGGACATTAGAGGCTTTAAGGGAGTGGTCTCTCCTTCCTATAAAATCCATTCTTTTCCACTCTATTACATTTCCATCTTTTCAGTTTCACTACATGTATCTTATCGGATGCCTTCAACTTCTAAGTAATATTTCATACTTGGATTGGGGCTAAGAATTTTAAGTTATAATTTCGATATATGTCATGATTATTTTAATTTCCTTTTTATCATCTTTTTCTTCATTAATATTTGTTAAATATTAATTTCTTCATTAATTTTTAAAATATTAAAATAATTTGATTTTGTTTTAATTATTTTTTATTTAAAATTATCAAAATTTAAATTTAATTATTGAAATTAAAAATTAAATACTTTATCAACAAATCACAACATTACTGATAATTACTGTAATTTTTTAATATGATGATAAATTACAGTTAGTGATAAGGTGTCTCATTCTATTTGGTGTGATGATAAACTTCATGAGCTTTTTGTTTATAATATTATTTCATTTTTAGAAAATTTCATTGACTTGTAAAATAATAATAATAATCCAGAATTTCACGAAGATTAACCTAAATTCGACAAATACTAACAAATTATTAATCATGATAAATAAATAAATAAATATTTGAAATATTATAAATAAGTAAATATAACTTATATATATATAAAGTTGAATTGATCTTACAATCGACAAATCAAGTTTTATTGTATGCTTGCAAATAAATAGAAAACTGAAAACTCCAAAAATTATCAGGATGTTGAAGTGATTATATTTGTCATGTTAATCTTTGCTTACATTTGTCGTCCAAAAAGGAGGGCAAATCAGAGATTGTGACGACACATTTGTTCGATAAGACAGTTATACCCTCACAAGGCAATCAATCTGATTGGTCCATATTGGCCGTTGTACTAACCTCAGCCCAAAACTGGCAGTAGGGAGTAACTGAGATAAACCCCATCAACTGAACCTGTCTTGTCTCCCCGAATGACGCAGTCTAATCAGCTCAATTCCCAAGGAGACCCTGGCAACATGACCACAAACGGACGAAACTACTCTGCTTACCACGCTCACCTCAATCTCACGGTCAGGATTGGTTTCCTTCAACGGACAGAAACGATTCACAAGTCACTGGTTGATGAAACGACGCGTACCCTAGAACAATCTCAACCACGAAATAAAATTTCCAGCACCGTCTCGCGAAAGTTTCGTGTGTTCTTTGTCTTCCCCAAAAATAAGACCCATTGTTAATAATAATACATTAAATTAAATGCTATATTTAAAAAATTATTAATTTTTTAGTTTTGAAAAAAGGCATAGGCAAAGCAAATTTGAAGTGAAGTGAGTAACTGTTTCCAGTACTATTGAATTGATTCTGTCTATATATATATATATATGTGTGTGTGTGTGTGTGCGCTGTGGGAGGAGGAGGGGTTGAGAGTTTACTCCTTGTATCTTCCAGTGCTCACTTTTCTTCTCTGTCTCTTTCACTCTTTTTGTCATTGAAGTTTTACTCATATATATATGTATTTTATGTTGAGCTTTTGCTGTTGATGTCTCTCCGTCGACGCTACTGTTGGATTTGTTATTATGTGAAAGAAAAAAGAAAAAGTATGAGTGACATTTGGGTACGTGTCACCGACACCTGTGCGTTCTGCATGAGAGAGAGAGAGAGAGAGAGAGAGAGAGAGAAGTGAAGAATAAGTCTGGTGGTTGTTGATCATTGACGAAGATAGAAGAGAGAAGATAGAGAGAAGGGTTTCTTTTTCTTCCTGCTCTTGTTTGTTTGTTTGTTTTTGGGGTGTTGGGGTTATTTGATTTTTAGTCCTTACGATTCATACTGCGTTTGGTTTTGTTTTTTGCCTTGGTATGAATAAAAACCCTAAAATCGTTTTTGAAGTTTTCCTGGCTCTTTGCTGAAAACGGCATGGATCGTGGTCTTACTTTTGGTACCTTTTCCATAAATGGGTGTTACTGGGTGTTACTGTGTTTTCAGATCTGACTTATTCCTTTTATTAATTTTGCTTTTGGGCCTATCTCAAACAGTTGGTTTCTTCATTTTGGTAAATTTTTGTGCGGTTGCTGTGTTTCCTTATATAGGAAATGCTTTACCCTTTCATTCTATACTCTCTTGTCTTCTTCTTCTTTTATTGACAATATCATTCAGTCATTCTTTGGGACATAGAAATTGACAGAAGAGAGTGAGCACACAGAGGCACTTGTATAAGTCTATACTTTTGCTTTTGCGTGCTCACTCCTCTTTCTGTCATCTTCCAGTGCCGGAATTTGATTTTTTGGTCATTTCTCGGCCTGTTTTGTTCCATACACAACTCCCATCTCTTATCTCCCTTGCTAACTTACTTTCCCTTCTCTTTCTATCTCTCATTCTTGAGATCCGTCTCCTCTCTGGGACAGGGGAGAAGTTGAATACGACGCCAGTGAAGATACTCTATTCGAAGAGGAATATAGTGTACCTAACAAAAACCTGCCTGTGTCTTTCATTTATTGCCTATAGTTATAGCTCTCAGTACGATTAATTTATGCTTTTAAATCCATTTTAAATACAATTAATAGCTTCAAAGCGTGGCTTTTGATGTTATTCACTGTTGAGATACGCCTGATTATTTTGCGGATTCAGCGGCCAAACTATGAATAGCATGGGACCATTCTTCGTTATCCATTGCCAATTAGTAACTAGTATGGTCCTTCTCCTCACTCAACAAACACTCTTCTTTTTTCTGGTTTACTTCTTGTTAGTTCTATCTTCTCCATATTTTCTTTTTTTAATTCCTGCGCATGCGATCATATTCACCCACAAATTTTTCCTGATTGGAGTTTGCTATCACCTGAATCTAGCAGAATCAGGTTGCTTGTACGATCTCAGTTGCAAATGGAGTTTCCTATTCGTGAGTTTAATTATAACCCTATCCTTATAACGGTAAAGTAGCTCGTTTAACTCTCTGAGAAGGGATGTTCTCCAGGTAGTTTTTGTTTTAATTTAGTCACAATTACTTGATTTGCAGATTCGGAACTTCTGAATTTATAGTGTATTTACCTGTTCTTTTCTTCAATTCTGATTTGACTCTAGTTATTGCTAGCTAGATATCTTGTTCTTGATTAAACATGAAATATTATACCTACATTAAAAATGCAATGTGATTATTAGTTTAAGTAGCATGAATTTGATAAAATTGTATGTCTTTTTCTTTTGGTTTTAACTTTAAGTCATTACCTGCAAATATAGATACAGCTTTTAATCCATGTATTAGTTTTGGAAGGGTATAAAGATCAGTAATTTAGTGCATCAATGTTTTAAATGAATCTATCTGGTGTCTTGTATGGAAAAGACTTATGTGGAATTCCCTAGGTAAAGTTCATGAAGCTTTTTATTATTAAGGAGTAAATAAAAACAAAAAAAAAAAATTAAAATTTGATAGATTGAAAACTCTCATCACATAGATTAAGCATATAAAATTTGAAAAATTTTTAATAAATTTTGATATATTTATTAAATATAAATTTTTATTGTTGAATAAATATGGATTAAATTTAAATTATAAACAATATTTTTAGTAATTTTTTTTTTACATATTATTGATATTCACATTGAACTTTATTTATTTATTTTTTTATAATAAGAACTTCACAAACTTCACTCATGTAACTTCATCTAAGTTTGTCTGTCTTGTATATGCCGAAAACATTGATCTCAAGTTTCAAATCCCTTCCTGGAAATGTTAAAAAGAGGAGGATAAGCACTTAACAAATATATGAAGCTTTATATAATGTTTATCTCCCACTGGGGAAAGAGAAGAAAATTTTTCAAATTAAAGATATATAGCAAGTTTATGTATAATGAATTGATGAAAGCAAAATGTTTTGATCCATACAAGATCATTTAGTCATCAGCATAATGTAATAATACTTGGTTAACTAATTTTGTGTACGCGAAATTATAATGGTTTTCATTCAATTAAAAAAATAGAAGAAAAAAAGAGGTTTATTTCAATTCAACTTTAGATAGTTCATATATAATTGATTTGAAATGGGAATATTAATTGCTTAATCAAAGATTATATGTTTCTAGAAAAATATTGTGCTTGATTATATTTGAAATGGGAATATATATTATGCTTGAATTAAACAAATTTACTTGTATAAATTTAACCATATGTGGTTACTTTTTGCAGGGTTGATGTTCCATTGCCCCTTGTAGAGTTTGATCATTACCCTCTTTGGTAATCTCTTTTTATCTACTCACCCACGAACTATGTATTAATTTGCATATTTTCTTTCAGCCTTTCCATTAATCTTTTGTTTTCATTCAACTTTTTGTTCTCAAGAAAAGGATTATTGATGGCAGCTAATAAAGCCTTGAATCTTTTCCCAACTAACCAAACATCCAATTGTTGAATTTTTCCAATCTTATTTTGTTATACTTCACTATTTTTGCTCCAATCATCATTTTACTGTTCAATGCCATGTAGTATTCTTCTAAGTTATTGTACTAATAATATATGCTTCAGTAGTGCAGCTCCCCTGGAAGAATCATCTGCCCTCAGTGGATGACTAGATATGAATTGGGTCCTCTCATTTAGTTGTTCCATCAGCATATAATTTGGTATTATGGGGGTATCATACACCAAATTGTGAACTCCTCAAATCTGGTTCAAGACTTCAAAACAAGTAAGAAAACATCAAAAAGCTAATATTTTGTACGCAGTCATAATCTTATAGGGAGGACAATTGAATTTGTCTTGATGTCTTGCCTACCTCAAACATGCTCTATATTTTCTTACTGGATTAAAGATTTCCTAGTTTTAGTGGTGCAAAAACCTTGGGAGGGATTTTATATATTGACAGTATAATACATTAATGATAGATCATTTGAGAATTTGAGTGAATATACTCTTAATTTGTCTATACATGGCGTTGAAGAGGGGCACCAATGTTAATGTAGTTAAGTCTTCATAATTTGTTCTTTTAAGTAGATAAAGGGTAATGTTAATTAATAACTGAAGTAGATAGTGGTATTGCAAGTTTATAAACATATATATATATATATATATATATATCCAGAAGTTCAAGAGGGGGAGGTAAAATTTGATTGTGATGAAAAATGTGTTGACAACAATTGTGCAAGCCTTTATTCTTTTCTACTATAATAAACAAGGATAGATATAAATTTTGCACATTTCCCCATTATAATAAACAAGCTAGATGGGCTACTTTATTTGGGATATTAAAACTGATTTATGAAGATGCTACCAAATCAATTATTGGCCCTGGAGGTGATCATGTGTGTATGTTGTATGGCCTGAATTCTTGCTACCCTTTCTTCTTAAATTTAGTGGTTTAATTAAAGAAGGGAATTCTATAACATTGGTGGAGGACATTCTAATCCTATTAGATAGAAAACTTTTTAGCAGATTCCAATTTGAGTTTTGTCTTCAATTTGGGATATTTATTATATTTCTGAGTTCGAAAGTATTAACTTTATTTAAATTGTAAGTAGTTGACCCTCTTTGGCTCTTCCGTGGTAGTTATTTTTATGGCAACTTCAGCTAATCAATTTAATATATGAAATATTTCATCCTTGTTTTCAAAGGCAAACTCCATGCATTTAAATGGGACTGATCTCTAAATATAGGTTTCCTAAGGAATTATGTCATCAGGAAAATTGTTTTGTGAACAGTTTAGGAAGTTTTAAGATAAGAGATAAAAAGGGAAAAGGGTTCCTCCTCTAAAGTAATAGGCAGCTAACTTCTTCATTGAATGACTACTGCATTTTCTAGAAATTCATTTTATGGGAGAAAGTTAATTTTAGTAGCACTTGAAATTCATTAAGAACTGCGTCACTATGTTGCCTTGAAGAGGCCAAGGATTACTACGTGCAAACATTTACCATATGTGCTTGGTTGAATTTCAGGGACAAGATCCGTGTAGAAATCTTGATTTGCTCCATATTGGAATTCTTTGTTTGAATAGTGATATCAAGGACATTAGGTTTTCCATGTTCTGATATGGGGTTTGCCTATTATTTCTCACTCTGACCACTTTTCGTCGCTGGGATTTGGAAGCATCAGACATATTTTGTGGAATTTTATGGCCTATATCTTGAAAATATCTGAACAATTGCATGTGCTTCATGTTACCTGGGTGTATTTGACAGTTATGAAAGCAGAAAAGTAATAATAAAAGAAAACGTTGACGTTGACAGTGCTACTAATCGATAACAAGACTACTTCTCTATAGACAGTTGTGAAGCTTCAGTTTTAACTCTCTTGAGACTACAGATCTGAGATGGAAGCATCGACAACTAAGATTCTGATGATTGATTTCTACAGACTAAACTGCTATTGTTGAAAGCCAATTATCTTCAATTCACGAGGCACTACTTCCAGAAGATAATCTGTTTTTTCAGCCAAAAGCTATGATAATTGTTGTTAGATGAGTTATTTTAGGATCATAAATGGATGTTTTGTTGAGATGCACCTGTGAATATTTTAGTTTTGCCCCCAACAGCATTACAGCAAAAAAGGGTACAAAATTTCTACAGCTCTTCCCTTGTTTCTCTGAGCTATGATGAACTAGGGATTTTGGCGGGTTCGGATCTTTTTTTTGGGCCCACTATAATTGGACCCATATCAGGATTGATACCCATTTGATGGGCTGGTAAATAAAAGTTTAATGGGCCCACTCTATTCCAGTCCATTTTCCCCTCCGGCCTGAAATCATATCACCCATGCCTCTTTGGGCCAATGATTTTTTTTTTTAAATCCTTTTTCTGCTGATATAAATATAATATTAATATGCCATAATGTCACTAAAAAATCCTTTTATTTTGAATAGTTTAGATTTATTTTTTTTTCCATATAACCCAAATTGAAATTTATGTTTTAAAGTTAAGGTATCATTATTATTGAGGTAACGTCTTAACAAATGTTTGCAATTTTGAGGTGGGGACAGGTTTTTTTACCCTATCTCTTTATAATTTGAATTAGAAAAGTAACATTCCTTGCCATAAATGCTATACATAGGTGTGACCTGCCTGCCAAATGGCCCCTCAGCTAGGAAAAGAATCCCTGATGTGATATTAAATGTGTCAGTGCAGCAAATTTTTCCTTTCAAGCTCCAATGATTCATGGTTGCTTAACGTTCATGGCATTTTGTGAGTAATCAAAAACAAAATACGGCGATGCCAATATTAGTGACTAAAGTAAATGCTTTTTTCTGCTGCGAGCCAATATTAGTTTCAAATAAAAATTTTAATATATTTAAATAAATTTATATATATAATAATTATTTTTATTTTATAAAAATTAATAAAAATATATAATTTTATTTTATTTTAAATTTTTTTTTCATATATTCAAAAATTGATCTATAATTTGAAATAAATAAAAAATTAAATCAAATCAAATATTATAATTTTAAATCAATTATCAGTTTTCTTAATTTTCTTTTTCACTCGTACTTATTACCAATCAACCCAGTCTCCAACTGACTCATTATTTGACTGAATATTAGGGGAATTTAATAGCATTTCGATTTGCATTGCGACAAAACATCAATCAATCTCTATAATAGCAAAAATTTGAAAAAATACTCCACTTAATTAAAAATGAAACATCATATCAAGTTGAAAAATTGGGCCACGTGTCAGCCGAATTGAAGTTCATAAGGATTGACCCAAGTGTCAACATGGCATTGGCCATTGGAAGCAGTTTCTCCATTGTCCCCCTAGTTTATTTTAATTACAATTCAATGCTATCTGATTATCAAATACAGATAACACGTAATTGTACGTTAAAAGATTTGGGGAGACACATTATGTTACAATTTTATTCAAACTTCACCTCTATTATTGTTTAAACAAAATTTATATCAATAGCTTCGGCCTTTGACCCAACAGTCTCTGCCTTCTTTTCCTTCTTTTCAGGAGTTGATTTTGCAGGGCCAGGATTTTACGTACGTTGGCTGTACCGTAGTGGTACGATTTTCCTGCACCCAGCCATGATATATTTCTTTATTAATATACGTAAGAGATTTTTTATGAATATAATATAATGAGTTAAAAAAAAAAAAACAAATTGAGGAATTTATATAATATAATGATTCTTTAGCGAAAGAAATATTTACGGCTAAGTATTCCTGAATAATGTTGGTTTGGTGCTACACTTTTTGAAAGTAGGTGATTTAGGTGAATCGAATAATTAATCATCAACACGTGGAATATTTTTAACCCTTTGATCAAGATTTTTGTTGACAATTATCTAAAAGGTGTTTGAAAAAATTGCATTAATGTGTATGTTTTTATATTTGATGTAGTATGAAATAAATTAAATAATATTATTTTATAAATGAAATAATTTTTTTAAAAAATATTAATTTTTTTATATATTTATTTTAAAAATTAATATTTATTTATTAATTAAATGATATAATTTAATTCACTAACAATATATATAATAAAATTTATATATTTATAATACATCAAATATAAATTTATTCAAAAAAAAATTTTTTTTTGAAAGACAACTTTTGATGATGGGAGAAAGTAGAGGTGGTTTTCCACGCTTTTGGGGCCTATGACCAATGGCCATGGCTCTACCAAAGGTATTTCTAATTGATAATTAGGTAGAATAAAAAATTAAAATATTAAACATTTTAATTTGGATTATTGGGGATTGCCCATTTATTAATCTTTTACTATGAACATTTCATATTTGGGTTCTTATTTTATACATTCAAACTTCAAAGGGTCACAACTCACCTAGTCGGCAACCAATTTAAAATTTGCAATAACTTAGAAAAATCTCCACAGAACAATCCAAGAAATAAGTCTGAAACATGGGATTGGGATAGTAAAGGTGAAAATTAAAAGAAAAAAAATATTAAACAGCAGATCCTAGCCACTAGAAAAAACAAAAGAAGTGGGGCAGTGGAACTGAGAATTTACTTGAAGATAAAGAGTAAAGAGACGTGAAGATGTGATTCGTTTAGTCCATAAAGGTTTGTTGTAACCTCCCACCATTGACGCGTCTTCCTACTTATTTTCATGAGATTTCATTGTGTGCCTTGCTGCAGCCTCAAGTCTCCAGAAGACGATACCAGGTGCTCCAATGGCTTCTAATCTTCTAGACAACCCTTCAGATCTCCTTCCCCTACATGCCCTTCCGCTCAACACTAAACTTAATCAACTCTTTTAACGCCACATTAGAATATCCTCTATCCTCTATCCCAAGCAACTGAATTGTAGTCATCTAATGGAATTCTTCAAAATCAGCATGTCCTCTGTCCTTTACTGGATTCCCTTACATTACACATCTTTGCAAAGCCTTGTTCAAACAACAATATTGAAAACCATGAGATTTCAGTAGCATCAGAGCCGAAAAATTGTTAAATTTTATTGTGTAGAAAAAGAAAGTACGAGTAATATATAGGGAGAGACTGTCATGGAGGAGAGGCATATTTTGTTTGGGAAATATGAGATTGGGAGACTGCTTGGGAAAGGCACTTTCGCAAAGGTTTACTATGGGAAGGAATTAACATCCGGTGAAAACGTGGCGGTAAAAGTCATCAGCAAAGATCAGGTGAAGAAAGAAGGCATGATGGAGCAGATCAAGAGAGAAATCTCTGTCATGCGCCTTGTTAGACATCCAAATATAGTGGAGCTCAAAGAAGTCATGGCTACAAAAACAAAGATCTTCTTTGTTATGGAGTATGTCCGTGGGGGTGAACTATTTGCTAAAGTTGTTGAAGGCAAACTCAAAGAAGACGTTGCTCGTAAGTACTTTCAACAACTGATAAGTGCAGTCGATTTTTGCCATAGCAGAGGTGTCTCACACCGAGATTTGAAGCCTGAGAACCTTCTTTTGGACGAGAATGAAGATCTAAAGATCTCTGATTTTGGCTTGTCAGCTTTGCCTGAGCAGCTTCTCAATGATGGGCTCCTCCACACGCAGTGTGGTACTCCAGCTTACGTTGCTCCAGAGGTTTTGAGGAAAATGGGCTACGATGGATCCAAAGCAGATACTTGGTCTTGTGGGGTTATCTTGTATGTTCTTCTTGCAGGTTTCTTGCCTTTTCAAGATGAGAATATGATGAAGATGTACAGGAAAGTTTTCAAAGCTGAATTTGAGTTTCCACCCTGGTTTTCAACAGAATCAAAGCGCTTGATCTCAAAACTACTCGTGGCAGACCCTGAAAGAAGGATCACAATTCCAGCCATAATGTGTATTCCTTGGTTTAGAAAAGGATTTACACGCCCCCTTGCGTTTTCAATCGAAGAACCCATATCAGATAATATAGAGGATGATGATTCTGCCTCCAAGACTAACAAACTATCCTCTCCGAAATTCTTTAACGCGTTTGAGTTCATTTCCTCCATGTCGTCAGGATTTGATTTGTCAAGTTTGTTTGAGAACAAGAGGAAATCGAGGACAATGTTCACGTCAAGATGTTCAGCTAGTGCCATATTGTCTAAAATTGAAGGTGTTGCAAAGGGGTTGAACTTTAGGGTGGGGAAAGTCAAGGACTTCAAGATGAGATTACAAGGGTCATCCGAGGGAAGGAAAGGGCGGCTGTCGGTGAAGGCAGAGGTGTTTGAGGTGGCACCAGAGGTTGCAGTAGTCGAGTTCTCCAAGTCTGCCGGGGACACCTTGGAGTATGTTAAGTTTTGCGAGGAAGATGTCAGGCCTGCATTGAAAGACATTGTTTGGACATGGCAAGGTGACAGTTTCAACAATTGTACCAACGTTAAAATTGAGGGAGAAGAATACGAAAAGCAAGTGTCACAGAGAGCCTAACCCTAAGTAAAAATAGGAAAATTTTCCTTGTTTACCTTTTTTTTTGAGTCTTCCTTTTTGGAAAGATAGGTTTGAGGATGAGAATTTGTAAGTACGTACTCTCTGATTAGTACATTAATGTATGGCTTTGGATTTTGCAAACAGATGATAGATATTGGCAATGGAGAGTTGGATGAGAAATTCTTTTAAACTTTTTTTTTTTAGTTATTTTGGGTTTTTTGGATGCACAAAGCGAAGATGTTATTGTCAGCAAACGAGCATCATATTGCAATATTTTTGTTGCCTTCTCGATGAGAAAGGAAGTAAAAAGACAAAATTGTTCGATAAAAGCCATGATCATGGAGGCCAAGCAACAGCTGCTGCCTGGAATTGGCCATTGTTTGTTTTTAAGACAGTTCGATGCCTTTTCACTTTGAAGTTTGGAGGGCCTTGAAGAATTACTATGAAGAATTTAACATAAGCAAGAAAAACAAGACATGCAGTCTTCAAACTAGTTCCAACTCATTGCAATGGCTCTTTAAGCTTCTATCACTCATGGCAGAAGGGGGAAAGAAAACAGGGGTAGAAGATGCGTGACACTGAGACATTCTTTTCTTCTGCAATTCGAATTCACTCTCGACTAAGATCAACAGGAAAACAAGATGCCTGAGAGCAATTTTCATGTCTGTATCGATGTTTCTCCTATACCTGAAATACAGGAGAGTGTTTCTAGGGGAGGTTTGGGGCATATTTATTTTATACGTAAGGTTTTTTAGGGGAGAGCAACAGAGACTCGTTACAGCCCTTTTGCTTATACATGTAAAGGAATCTCTTAGGTCGATGCCAAGATCCATAATTCACGGCTCTAAAAGTTATAACTCAATAATCTTTTCGTAATTATCAAAGTTATTTTCTTATGAAATTGATCTTTCTTTTGAGTGAGACAAGCTCGACAGTTTTAATTCTCGGAGAAAAAGTTCCTTGTCTGATTTGTGAGTTTGTGTTTGATTACATTGCACGTTGCTTATAAAAGACATGTAGAAAGATTGTTCCAGGCTTCCAGCTAAAGCACAGAGTCGCCATCAAGCAGTTAAATGTAAGAAAACCAAAGCACATTACTTGCAACGCATGGATAAGGATCGAAAGGAGCATTTCGTCAAAGAAAAGGTCCCGTGATGTTTGACAATTCGCAATGCCAAAAAGGCTACTCAGCTTTGATCTCTTAGGCGAAAATCGCAAGCTTTAGGAGATCCACCAACGCCTGGCCACTGGCAAAATGAAAGCATTTTAATGGGCCCAATCAAGACCCAATCAATCTGAGAATCCTTCAAAGGCCAGCGATAAAAAGATAAAGAATTGACAGGCCCAAGAAAAAGAAAGTGAGGCTAACCAAACTGGCCCTATTTCAAGCTGATTCTGCAGAAACTGGGCTGGCTTGGTTTACATTGAAAGGTTTCAAGGCTTTTGGTCCAACAAAAGCGGACCTGTCCTCAAAAAAATTGACACTTTAAGGAGTTTTTTTTTTAAATATATTGTAGGTGCCACGAATCATGACTTTTTGGTACTATGATGTTACAAAAGGGCACCAAAAAAAAAATAAAAGAAGACCTTTAATAGTTGTCTTCTTCACTTTCTTAATGCATTAGCAAACTACTTTCAAACTAACCACTCTCTATATTTTAAGATTTTTTTTGGCCAGAATTATATTTTAAGATTGAGGAATCCATTTTCCACGAGAATATATTAATTATATCATGAACCAAAATTGACTAAAAAATGCAACACAATTTGATAATTGAATTCCGAATTAGATGATGCATCAAGAAATCTGAATTCAAACAATTCGCTGATTTTTCTTCTTCAAATTCTAATGTCTACCTAACTCTCTTTGGTTTTTTTTCTTTTTTCTTTTTCTCCTCGTGAGAGGTAAGGGAATCTCACCAATCGCGAAGTTGTAACTCTTATGGTCTGATGCTGAATCAGATTCCCCCAACTGAAAGGAAAAAAACAAAGGGAAAGATGACTGCTTTGCCTGTTTGCCTGGACAATGGCAAACCCTTTTCCCCTTAGAAATTTGGTGGGTAGGCCCAAGGCCACGGAGTCTTGTACTCCACCTGTCGCTACCTCAAAAAAGCAACATGAAACGTGTAGAACACAAGTGGTATTGGGGAGTTGTAAATCACATCAGCTTAATCAAATCAAGCAAAACTCCACAAAGCAAACAAAAACCAAATTAAAAAACGACTCCACTAATTCCACGAGTCATAATTCCATTAGTAATGAAATTTACGTAAGGTTTAAAGCGTCAGCCATCGTACGTCATTTTGCTGATTTCATGTCTGCTTGTATTGGGGGTTATGGAAAACTAACATTAACAAAGTTTATATTCGCGATGACTTAGACTTGAAACCCTAGACTTTTGGATGTATTTGATAAAAAAAATCTTATTGTTTTGACTTCTTCTAAAGATTTTATCATCGGATCATATATATGCACGCACTACATGTGAACAAAGTACATGCATCAAATTTTCCACAACAATTCGAGCAAAAGTTTCTTAGAACTTTTACAAGAGAAAAAAAAAAGAAGAACATAAACATACATGGTGTAGATTTACTTTGTTGATAAAATAATTGCCTTTAAGCAAGCTAGATCAAGGAGACTTAGAACAGGAAAGTTCTATATAAACCGATTTAACTAATATTAATATCAATTTGTGTATTTGGATGCCTCTTCAATTCAACTAAGAAACCCCACTTTATTTCTTGTTAAAGGCTATTTGTTTTGAAAGTTTCATTAATGGCTATTTGCGCAATCAATGACCTCAGGTTGCTTATCTCACAGCCATTTGTTATATCCTTGCAAATTCTAAGTATTAGTTGAAGTCGTCTATTTGTTAGTTGTAACTATTATGTTGATCTTTCAACCCCCAAAAGCAACAGAAACTATAAAGCATTGGCAATACAGGGAAGGAAACAACAAGAGTACTGCAGATGCATATGGTCTACTTAAGTGCGCGTAAAATAGGGTATTCTACCAAACATTTTCAAATTCTAAATAGAACCCAGATTTTATCGTTTTATTTTCCCACCAATCTTGTATAGAATGGACCTGATTTTTCAGCGTATGTAGACTGAACTGCTATTTAGTGTAGAAACAAAATCAAAATAGGTAAGGTGACTGACAATAACAGGCTTTTAATTTTGTGTGATGACTATTAAAATTCTAATCTTAAACGCAAATTTATATAATTGTATCGATCAAGAGCAAATCTGTGGCTGTATTTGGGGTGTTAGACTGCTTGAATCTATCATTTTCCAACCATCCAATCAACCAACTTGTTCACTTTGTGTCCAAAGGATTTTTTTTTTTTTAAAGGTTGAGTAGGTCAAATTTTCTTTTTCCCAACCCAATGTACCATTTTTTCCTGCCTTTTAAACTAGTGTGAATTTGACGTTTGCCGACATCTCCGGTCTCATTCATTCTTTATATGAACCATAGTTTTTTGTCATTCAATTTTCTTTTTGACGAAGGAAATTAAAGATAAGAGTGCCAGCTGTTACTTCACATGGTTTTCCTGTTTGAAGTTTGGGTTACTTCAAGTCAAGACTCCTCTAATTTCCGTACTGTAATTTCGTTTTGCTTTTTCAATTATTGTTTAAGACTGGATTGACTATAATGAAATTACCAAAGATTGCTATCCAGTGTGAACCTTAGTTGGGATCCTATGAAACACGATTAGTTCGTTTTAAATGTCTCGGCTTGCTAAGGCTATTAAGTATTAATCTCAATAGGAGCATTAAAAAGAAAAATGAAGAAAACTTCCCCTTTACTATGTATTTCTATTCAAATTATAAACTAAGATAAAACTCCCAAACAAACGGAAAAAAAAAAAAAAACAAAAGAAAAAAAATCTTCAGTAGGGACCAGGACCGATCTACATATAAAAAAATCTCATATATTTTAAAAAATTTCAAAATTTACCCCTACTAAAATTTTTTAATCACATTTGCCCCCATTAAATTGAGAATCACGAAAGAAAACTTTTTATTGTTTATCTTGTAATTGAATATTTATACCTTGGGTAATAAATAATTTCATTATAATATATACATTAATTTTGAGAAAAAAAAAAAAGCAAATAAAAAACTTTTAGAATTCATATAACATATAAAGTGTGAATTAATAAGAATAAAAAATAAAAAACAAATTTTAAGTAATGTTTATTTTCTTGTTTTCATTGTATATAAAATTAAAACTACCATTTTCATTGTATATAAGAAAGTAAGTATTTATTATTCTCCACATTATAATGAAAATAAATATTAAAACTAGAAATATTGATTTTTATTCTTTCACATATTATATTTATATTTAAGAAATCTATAAATAAAATTTTATTAAATAAATATATGTACATATTTATATGTGTATGTGTTTAGACATATATGTGTCAAAAAATAATTTATCTATGATATTATAGTGTTTAAGCTATATTCTTCAGTCAACAATCATGTAGTTATTATTGTATTTTTTTTTTTTTGAAGAAACGAAGTGTATTACTATTAATCCGGGGGTACGGAATTGATAAGCCTTAGTATATCCTCAGGACAGCCACCCACCCACAGTTTATTAACATTATGCTGTAAAGCATATTTAGCAATCCTATGTGCATGAACATTGGCAATCCTTTTTAACATGTTTCACTCTAAAGGATTAAAAGGTCATTCCTCAGGTACGGATATTTCTCATGCTGTTCCCTCCAACAAGTTTTCAGCTTCTGATCTGATCCCGTTAATGACTTGTAAAGCATCTTCTTCAAGAATAATATTTTCAAACCTCATATGGGACGCCAACTCCATATCCATGCCCGCAACAAAAGTTTCAACTGTATTGGGGTCCTTCACATTAGCTACTTTGCTCATGGCAGTCCCAATAACATCACCATTAGCATTCCTTGCTATAGCCCCAAGACCACCCAATTCCTCAGCTAGATTAAGAGGGCCATCAAAGTTTATTTTAGTGAAGCCCAGCGGTGGAAGTTCCCAAGCAACCTCTGCCACAAGTTCACAATCTATCCTGCTGCCATTAAAGAGCCAGAACTCCTCTAAATAACCAGAAGCGAATTGCACCACCATTTTTGGTTTGCGGTGCTCATCTGACTTCATAGCTCGGTTTCTATTATGCCACACAACTTAGCAAAGGGCCAGTCCTCTCGCCAGTTCTTCATTACTCACCGCCTTGGCAACCTCATCGAGCCAACCATTGTCTGCCTCTAGATCAACCTCCCTCCATTTTGCTACTAGGGCAGCCATACTCAAGACAACTTTAATCCTTTCACGGTCACTAATGGCATGGTTTATAATTTCTTCCTGCTGGCCACATCTAGGACATATTTCGTGGACGCCAATCCCTCTCTTTCGTAGTGTGGTGTAGGTTGGAAGAAAACCCAGCATCAACTTCCGTCAAAATATTTTGATTTTATTTGAAATATTTGTACACCAAAACTTTCTCCAAATCTGTCTTTCAATAGCAGTAGAAGTTCTTGCGCCATTCAACTGACCATTACCATCCATGCATTGAATTGATAAAATCATGCTATATGTGCTCCGAACCGAGAAATGACCGTTTTTATCCGTGCACCACGTGAGCACATCAAAGTTGTTGGACTAAAAGCCTCCAATCCAATCACATTAACAAAAAAAAAATCAAACAATAAATCAAATACATAAGAGATAACAATTTAACGTGATTCGGTTCAACTAACTTACATCCACGGATGAGAAACAAGATCCATTAGTTGTAGAGAATTACAAACTTACATCAAATCATTAACCTCACTCAACAATCAATACTCATAAGACACTGTCAATCTCTTCTAGTCCTATAAAGTATTCTCAACCCAAACAAACACAAACCTAAATTTTTATATACCCTTTCAACATAACCAAACACATACCCATATGCTCCCATACATCATACCTATGTGGACAGTCTCTTCTAGTCCACTCACAAACAAACATACACACCCATAAGACGTAGAGCCCTAATACTCCTATGAGGTGTCTATCCCACAAAATCCTACAACTCTCTTACATCTTTTTTTCATACCTAGCATGTAGAAACTTCACATATTTATAACCATACAAACTTGCCCATTAAGAATCCCTCTCCTCTTAGAATTCTTCTCTTTTAAGTTAAACTTGTCTATTAAAAATCTATTTCCTTTTAAAATTTTTCTTTTACAAGTCAAACTTACCTATTAAGAATTTTTTTTCTCTTAGAATTTTTCTTTTACAAGTTTTTTTGTCCATCAAATAATATCTGACAAATCTCTAACAAATCTCAAATAAATTTCTTATGGGATTTGAGTTAATATTTTCAACAAGAGTGACTGTTTGTACTCAGAGGAATAGATAATATTTGGTGCATTACCTCCATATGGGAAGTACGATCCACAAGATCCCTATTCCACCCTTTGGTTTGTGTATCGAACAAAAAAGCCACACTTGCATCCCCGTGCTTGGCTATAAGGAGGTACTTAGGGAGCCACTGATCCTTCCAAATTCTTATACGGTGCCCATCACCCACCCTCCAACTTACTCCAACCTGTTGGTCCGTCCTAGCCAACCAAATGCTACGTCATGTAAGGGACAGTTCTCGGCCTAATCTGGCTTCCAAAAAAGTCATCATTTGGAAAATACCTACCTGTCTTTCAGAACTTTGAACAGCAAAGAGTCCTGGTTTCTAATCAGCCTCCATCCTTGTTTGGCCAAAAGTGCCCGATTGAAAAACTCCAAATGTCTAAAACCCATTCTTCCGTTGGCTTTACTCATGCACATTTTATCCCATTTCAACCAATGGATGCCCCTCCCATTTTTCTTTGCACTCCACCAATAGTTGCTAATTAAACTGTTAATCTTTTGGCACAAACTCTTAGGAAGTAGGAAGCAACTCATACAGTAAGAGGGAATAGCTTGGAGAACTGACTTAATGAAAACTTCTTTGCCTCCCACATAGAGAATTGATCCTTCTTGACCATATTTTGCCCTTCAAATCTCTGAATACCCGTGTATTATTCCTCCCCACTATAGTTGGCAATCCTAGATACTTTTCAGGGTCTGGTGTATCTATGACATAAAAAATTATATTTTATAGAAAAAAATTATTATACATGATAATTTGTAAGAAAATTTTTATATTAATTTGTTTTTCAAAAAAAATTTTAATAAATTAAGTTAAAATACTCACCCTCAATTATCAGAAATCCTAAATCCGACCCTACAGGTAAGGACCTTGAAGACTTTAGGTTTTTGCAGATAAGCTTTGATCTTTTAATATTATCTTATAAATGACCTCAGCGTGTATGACCAAATCGATGATGTTGTAGATCACTCCCTCTTCTAAAAATACATAACAAATACTTGCTTCACTTGACTTTTAATTTTATTTGCCATCCAGATGACACATTAGTGAATTTCAATTCTTAATTCCCAGAAAGTACATGAGAGAAAGAGAGAAAAAAAATTAAAAAAAATTAGACTAACTGCAGGAAATAGAAACTTAGTAGGAGTTATAGAAGTATTCTATTCTTGTGTGTCCTTAAATTTGGCCTTTATTTTAATTAAGTATCTTAAACAAAGTCTAAGATTAGTTTGAAAAGAAAAATGGGAAACCGTGTGGGAATTTTGGGTTCCAAGCTTTTACCCTTTTCAGTTGTCAAAGAGACCGAGACTAAGACGAAGACCAAGAAGTTATCTTTCTTCTTACGTTTTACCTTGTACTAATATGAAAATTTCTCCACAAATGAAAAGGAAAATAATAAAGGAATATATACTCTTTAAAATATATTTTAAAAAATGTATAAATCTTTTTGTTTATAAAATTAAAAAAATCATTATTATTAATTTATTAAAAATGAACTCTTTTATCACAAAAAATATAATGCGTATGTAAATTAATTATTCAAACTAATTCTTTTTTTGGATGGGTAATTATTAATATAATTGTATATCTATGAAATATAAACTAGTTGTAATCAATATTGATAATTTCATAGAAAGTATTACTTAGTATTTCACACTAAATTTTTAAGAATCTATACGTATTAAGAGTATGTTATTTATAATTATTATATTATAATTAATTAATCATAATTTAAAATTATATAAAAAGTATGAAATTTACATTTATAAATGATAGATCTCTACATGATTTTTATTATCATTAAATAATTATAATATTATAATAAAAATTATAATTAAAATGCTTTTGTATGTATAGTGTTTATAATTATACTAAAGAAAAAAAAAAAAAAAAGGTGTTTCATATCAAATAAATTATTATATGTCTTACCAACTAAGGCATTATCTATCTTGTTGCCGACTTGCCGTTCCACTAAGGCACGTGCCCTTTCTTCTTCGAATTGGTTTTATACAAATCCCTTTTCAATTAAACATAAAAAATTTAATGTGTTGAAAACTAGAAAAAGTGGAAAATAGCAACATTTTATATTTTTTCTTACTAGCATATATAAATTTTTATCCCCTTATTCCTACTTTTATTTGTGACATACGATAAATTTATAAAATTTATTATTTGAAAATTAAGTTATATTAAATAAAAAAAAAAACGTGGGCACGTGGCGAGATCGTGTCATATCAATATGAACATTGTTATTATATGGTACTATAGCAGTAGGGATAAAAATGAAAGAGCATGGAAGGAGGGGGGTGGGGGTGTGGTTAAAGCGAGAAAGTCGACGAGATAAAATTAAGGTCAACAAGACGAAGCTTCTTTTAGCCATGAGTTCAAAATGTATGTGCCAAATGAATAAAGCTCATTGGTGTGGGTGGGGGCTTGACCTTGACATGACATCAATGGCCTTAGATTTTCAATATTTTCGTACCAACGTGCATGACTTTCCTACTTACATCGCCTTAGCATTTCAATAATTTAATTTGTAGACAGCTTATCGAGTGGGGATTCCAAGTGGGGATGAGAGAAGGCTCTTTCAGACTCATCTTCCTGTAACTTTCCTCAATAAGCCGGACTGCTGAAGCATCTTCTGAATTCTATCCTCTATATATTTCCCTATTCCTGGGGGGTAATATCTCATTCCCTTGACAACTTTGAGACTTCTCATCATTTCTTTAGCTTCAGCCCACTGCCTTTTCTTGCCTGCTTCCCTGTTCTTGTTCTATAGTACAACTTCTGTGATGGAATCAGCTTGGGTGGATACTGCTTTGGACCTCAACATCAATCCTTTCTATCATAGCAACAAAACTCTGGTGAGTTTGGATTACCAATTGAGGAGGATAACCATGTTAGTAAAGCTAATTTTCTTGTTTTGGATTGTTGGACTTGAATAAAATTTTTTGATTCTTTTTGAAACAGAAGGGAGAATCCAAGGGAGAAGTGGCTGATTCTGATGTGAAGGTACCAGTTAAACAAGAGGTCAGTTTCTGTACAAGTTAATTGTCTTCAAGAACTTAAATTGGACTTTCTAATTAGTTGAATTATCCGAGATATTTAGTGATTAGTCCATCCCAAATAAGAATTGTTTTCTGTTTCTGATTCACTCATTTCAGCAGGCAAAGGATTAGTCCATCCCCTTTGTTCGATATGACTAATCTTTTACCTTTTGCTCTTTTGCATCTAACATTTCAGGCTTCTGAACCATAATGTTTTCTGTTCATTTCATATATGCTATTTCTTAATCCTCCTTCAACTGAGCTCTAATGGCACCACAAATATGTCTTTAACGTAGTTTTTTTCTTACTCAGAATTTCAACTATAAATGTTGTTTAAATTGGAAAATTGCTGAATGTTTTTTATTCTAAATAGACTGGCGTTTTGGTGGAGGAATTGAATCGGGTTAACGCTGAGAACAAGAAGCTAAATGAAATGCTAACAGATTTGTGCGAGAAATACTACTCCTTGCACAACCAATTTATGGAATTGGTAAGCAAGAACTCTGAAAATGAAGCTGCAACATCAAAGAAGAGAAAAGCCGAGTGTGAGGATTATACCAACATGATTGGATTCAGTGGAAACGATGAGAGCAGCTGTATTGATGAAGAATCATGTAAAAGGCCTAAGGAGTGCTTTAAGGCAAAGATTTCAAGCGTTTACTTGCGCACAGATCCTTCTGATAACAGCATGGTAGGTCCCTAAACTAGTTTTCTTGCCTGATAGAATTTATTAGTCTATGGTAATGTTTCTTAACGCAATTAATTAGCCTCCAAGTACTAAGAATTTTGAATATTCTTATATTGATCTGTGTTACAGATTGTGAGGGATGGATATCAATGGAGAAAATATGGTCAGAAGGTGACAAGAGATAACCCCTCTCCCAGGGCATACTTCAAGTGCTCCTTTGCCCCAAGTTGTCCAGTCAAGAGAAAGGTGAGCCAGTGCTTCTCCCCCTAATTTTCCTTCACATCATATGAATAATATTGAGAGACTCTTAGTTGAGGAACATTAATTTCGAGAAATATTTGTCTCTGATTGTTGTTTTGCTATTAATTGATTGTTTTTAGGTGCAAAGAAGTGCTGAAGATCCATCAATCTTGGTGGCTACTTATGAAGGAGAGCACAACCACCCACAACCTTCTCCAGCTGAATTGTCATTTAGTTCCAACTCTAATGCCAACCCTCGTTCAGCTCCTGTATCTGCTCCCACCAAATCTTCAGCTTCCGCTGTAACTCTTGAGTTGATGCAACCAGCTGGAATGGGCGATGATACCAAAAAACCAGTCCAACAAACAACAATCCAACAGATTTTAGTCCAAAAAATGGCAGCTTCTTTGACTAGAGACCCGAATTTCACTGCAGCGCTTGCTGCAGCCATTTCAGGAGGAGTTGTAGACCAGCATAGGATACAAAAGTGGTGAAATTCAACTTAGTTAGGAGAAATACTTAGTTCTGTACTTTTCTTGGTTTAGTTGAAAATGGGAGAGAGTGTGTCTATTGATGTAAATAGAATCTTGAATATAATGTTCGTAAAAGAAAAAAAAAGAAAAAGAAGGCAATTCTTTGCCAAAGTAGTTCAGCAGGACAGGTCAAGAATTAAAATTCATGATCCAATGATTGTTAATTAGGCTGTTATCTTATGAATTAATTCCTTTCTGAACTTGCATTTTTCTGGCTGTTATCTGATGTACATGAAACTTGGAATGTGAATTCAGATCAGGGAATTTGCATTCCAAGTTACATGGATATGATTAGATATTCCCAAGGATATTATATGGAAACTATGCCAATTAAGCTTGTAAAATTACAACACAAACTCATTTGTAAACGGGGACTAAATTGCACTTCCGCACAATGTCATCAGAAAAATTTTCACCTCAGATCACATTGAAGGGTCAGAAAATTAACACGAATTTGCAGTACCGGAAAGTCCTGCATGGTTTCAAACTCAAGTCTATAATGTCCAGAAATTCATAAAGAAATACATAATTAGGCCTTTATGTCTTCAATCTTCACGGTCAGGTAAGCATGCATTAGGTGGAAATTTTTGTGGCTAAAGTATAGAAAAACTCAGTTTTTACACAACTATCTGTTCATTAATGAACAACTAAAGATTCTTCAGCAGGCACAACGTGGGGAGTTAATTTGTTGATTATGATAAATAATATGGACGATTTGTCTGATTTAACTCTAAAAATCTGAAAAACACTTATTATGTCAATTAATTTTCAAACTATTCAAACGAATTATGGACTTCCTCTTTATTATTGGTACAATTTGTCTTTTGTCATTGCCTCTAAATTTCTTAATGTCTTACCATATACCCTTTATATTCAAACTTTCCAGCCGATCATTTCTTGTCGACATATTGTCCCCAACATTAGTCAAACAGAGTTTCGTGTCTGAAACAGAATCATCTCTATCGATCATGTAATAGAATTAATGAGTATTTATGTACTTGATTTAAGGTTAATTACACCAAAAAGATAAACATCTTTCATCGAAATTTTAATGATTTTTTTTTTGTTAAAGAAGAGAAAAGATCTTGGAAGACTAATAATAAAAGGGGCATTGCCATTTGGTGGCAGAAACAAGATTCAAGTCAAAACAACAGATTTCGTGTATGGATTGGAGTCTATAATTAATTTTAAGTGCTTGACTACAAACTTACCGGTGACTAATCACTTAAATATGAACATAGACTTTTTTAATATTCTTTTTTCATTAGATAAATTTAGTCACTTTCAATCTTTTATTATACACGTAACTTTCATTATTTACACACGGGTGGTTTTAATACTTATAAGAATAGTCGGCCCTAATTTAACTCATTTTTCAAAATTATTTTATCCAAGGATTAATGGAATGGGGAGATTAGTCAACCTTTACTAAGCCTTTGTACCGAGCATTTTCTCCTTTTTATTTCCTATTAGCATGCTAAAATTATGTTTGATTTGCAAAATCTAATGGTTAAGTTTCTTACCAATTTGTACATGAAGGATATTGCAAGAACTTCTTCTTCTCCAAGGGATCATGTTTGGAAAGGATATTGCAAAAATCGACATGTCCATAATCAACGTTCCTATTGCCGAGCAAGATTCATTAACAATTCATATAATTTCGTTGAACAGAAAGTGCTTTAAGAACTCATCAATTGATGATTAATTGTTATCCTTTTTAATAACCCTTCTCCGATTCCTGATTGTTTTTGTCCAAAAGCACAAAAAAACATATATAAATCCCACAAAAATGTTTTAATTAGAACGGTCTATAAATTAGTTTAACAAAAAAAAGTAATCAAAGTGATTAGGAAGTAGACATATCCATAATAGGAACAAAAGACTCCAATTGGGCTGGTGGCAACAAGTTGCTCAATCTTGTTACACGTTTTGTGCCTTTTAATTGGAAGAAACTTGGGATTTTGAAAACTTTTTGATACAAAGAAAGTAGAAAAACATCAAACTGAAGATGGCAAATTGCTTAGTTGTTTCCCACACATTCATTCATTGATCCGCTTCTAGATGATGTTAACTAGTTTGACTATGGTGATCAGCTTTCAACAATAATCACCATTCACTTAGGCAACTATATATTCATCATGATGTAAGCATGCACTAAAATTCTACATTATCATTGTGATGTAATTATGTGACTGATCATCAGTTTTTCTTTTAACTTTTCTCGGAAAATCTAAAAACAAAAGCCGTGAAAGAAACATGAGAAAGACTTGGTCCACGAATTTGTCTGCACCCACTAAGACGTTGGACCCATGACAAGCAAAATTTTAACGTGTATACGAATGTGAAGATAGCAAATTCTAGGCCTAAGTGCTTACTTCACTTGGATGATGTCAGGCAGATTACGATTTCCCATAGTTCGCGCGAATCGCGATTTCAAGTATACTGTATTAAATACCCATGATCATGATCGTGATGATTCTATAAAAATCTCTACTTTTTTGTTTCCAAGGCATGGCTTTGATTTCAATAATTTCCCGACTGAGAAAACTAGAAGGAAACATCAAATTCTCTTCTAATTTCTAGTTTTGAGAGAAAGAGAAAAACAGAGAATTTTTTTATTTTTGTTGGTGGAAGCTGCGCTATATTTATTAATAATCAGTTTTTCTATCTAATAGTCTGTTTTTCAGCCAACTGTCATGGATTCTCTCAACTCTAATAAAGAAAAGGTAATATATATAGCTCTCTCTTTATGATCTTTCACCATTCTTTTCTTTTTAATACATTTAAGGACAAAATTTTCAGGTGGAATCTCTCCTAGCGGAATTGGATCATTTGCAGAAAGAGAACCAAGCTCTTAGATTGATGTTTGAAGCAATAAGCAGCAGGTACAACATGCTTCATCAAGCCTATCTCCGGGAATCAAACTCGCAATTACCAAGAGGCTGCAGCCTCTTAACGCGGTTTGGTTTATATGATGAATACTCAAACAAGAGACTTAGACCTGAAGTTCCAGTTGTAAGGAAGGAGTCACAGGTTTTTGTGAAAACGGACCCTAGGGACAAGAGCCTTGTAAGTGATCATCATCTCTTTACCCTAGTTAGCCAGGTTTCTTTGCTTGTGTCAATGTAATTATTATTTCACCTGTTAATGTTCTTGATGATAACTGTGATTTTAGATAGTTAAAGATGGATTTCAATGGAGGAAATACGGCCAGAAAGTTACTAAAGATAATCCGTCGCCTCGAGCTTATTTCAGGTGCTCTATGGCTTCTGGTTGCCCTGTTAAAAAGAAGGTATAGAAATATTTTATGCTCAAACTGCTATATTTTGAGGCATCATGTCATGCCAGCATCAAATGTAATGATTTCATTAACAATCTCACCTTAGAAAATAGTAGAAAGTAGTATCACATGTGAATGTCATTGGTGGTGTAATGTTCGGAGAAAATCACCAAGATAAACTACAAATGATTTGTAGTCAGAAATAGTAAAGGAGCTTAATGGAGTCTCAAGCAGTACTTGATGAAATTTGGTTGTGATTTTTGACTCAAAAAATATACATCTAGAGCATTATGTCTCCTCTATGATGTACTATTAAACAATCGGAATTCATCCCTCGGCTCTTTCTTTTATTTCTAGGTTCAGCGATGCGTTGAGGACAAATCTCTTCTTATGGCAACATACGAAGGACGACACAACCATGATATTAATGCTGTACCAGGACAATCTTTGTCTTCGACAGGCAGCTCTGCAATACTATCCATGACGACGAGCTTTCCCCATCCAGTTCTGGATAATCCTTTTCAACCCAATCTTGATCTCACTCTTTCAGGATCCAACAGACAAAACAGTAGAAACGCTCGAAGTGTTATGCAAGATTACAGCTCCAGCAACGACGATGACAACAACAACAAGAGAACTGAGGACTATGTTGCATCCTTAACAAGAGATCCTAACTTCACTGTAGCGCTTTAGCTGCAGCAGTTGCTCGCTCCATCACCGGACAGCCTAAACCATCAACCCCATGAACTTCAAAAGAAACTAAATTACTTCGGTAATTTAAAATTTTGAAAAGAGGAAAAATTTTTATTCGGCAAGTATCAAAGGCTTTGCATCCGTATTTATGCAAATATCAGATGGCGGCATGCTAGCTACTATATGTTCCATAAACTATTTGCTGCTAGCTACTATATGTTCCATAAACTATTTGCTATCTAAAATAATGCGTCTTTAAATTAGGTTAAGGTTTTGCTTAAATCTCGAGATTTTCAAGGAATATGTTTTGCGATCCTCAAGTGAGTCCGCAAGGCATCCGACGTCATCTCAAGTTGTGGTTCCACATTTCTTGGATTCATACAATTTCTGTAGTTTTGCTACACTGATAATATGACTAACTTAAATAGTTAATATGAGATATATATATATATATATATATATATATATATATAGATATGAAATGGAACCAAGAGATCCTCAGAGAGGGTGACAGAAGAATGAACCAAGTGCAATACAATTTGGAATGAGGAAACTTTGATCTTGCTAATCATCTCGATATAGATATCATATTGACATTTACATTCCTATAACTAAAAATTTACATAAAAAAATAAATATGTTGAGAATAAAACTATTATGTAACCTACATTTTAACAACAAAATTTTTAAGAGGTAACGATGCAAGTGGCTTGAGAGGACTCCATCCATCAGCTCTGCTCCAAAACCAGAAAGCATGTTAAAAACCGAATTAGCAGGTATAGAATTCAGAAATGGCCTAAATGTCCGAACCAAAAATGCAATTAGAATAGCCTTACTATTTGAAATTGGCATCTGGCCCCGCCATGCACCACCTGCGTTTTAATTTATAGCTCCTTATTCTTGTTGTTGCATTATGCAAGATACATTCCTCTCCGTGACATGATAACAGTGACTTGCCAGCAGTAATTCGTGCTATAAGCTTCCAAGTGATTTCCCTCCATGGAGCAAAATTGTACTTATTTTCATATGGGAGAATCAGAATGCCATGTTAACCGATAGAAATATGGAGCTTATAAGTGTCTATCATTGAATATCGGCACACTTGAATGGACTTCATATCAAGTGTTCAGACTCCTTCATGTGAGTACTATTTTTCAGCTTCTCATTGTCTGCCTCCTTCTGTGCTTTCTTCTTTTCCAATTCAAGCTGCTTGCAAACATCCTCACAAAGTTGAGCAGAGTAGACACAACTATAGGAAAAGTTGCAGAGAAACGGGAAAGTGATACATCTTAATAAAATAAGGCAAAAAAGAAACAGTCAAAACATAAAACAGCTCTGCAACTGAGATCACAAGGGTACATGTTGGTTAGTAGTAGTCCAAAGCATTCAAAGTCAGGATATATATGCACATAAGCATATGTGCATGTATCATCAAATTACTTAGAAGTAACATATTAGCATAATTGTCAGCTATAATTATCTAAACCATAGCAACTTTACTACGGTGTCCACCTAAGTGATTTAAAAAACAATAACATCCTCAATTCCATTCCGATGCAAAAGCAACCATCAACTACTAGACCAAGAGAGGGGTAACTATCATAATATCGCACTCACTCAAACTATTGGTATTGAGGATCAGCAGAAATATTTCTACAATTAAAGAAAATGAACAAGTCACAGATGACTTCTGATTAATTAGACCATTAAACTTCCATTCAGCCAGGCTTCAAAAGTCCTCCCCTTGGTCTAGCCCTCACTTCACTTTATGAAAAAGAATAGTAACGAAATGTAACTGAATCAGTTCTTTTGATAAACTTTATGGTCCTAACAGTTGCAGGGTTATCGGAAAGCTTTAAACAAACTTGTTAAGACTCACAACTACCTTGCTCAAATGGGCAACGTGCTGGGTCTTCTCCAAAAGAAAGAGCCAAGGCATCTGCATTTCTACCCTAAAGACATCCAGTTTAGAAATGCTAATGAGTTTGTTATGTTGCAAGCACACTGCAGATGTCAGAATAAAAACTCCTTAAAACAATACATACCACACTAGAATAAAGCGAAGCCAAAGACCTGACTTCACCCTCAGCAAAACTAAGGAACTGCTTTAAAGTCTGAAAGTTTAAATAAATAAAAGCATTAATTGTTAGTAAAAAAAGTATGAAGAAAAAGAAAAATGAGAAGTAGAATGCACCATCTTTTTCCTCTTTAAAAATTATGCAACATTGTTATTTTCATACTAGAAAATCCAAGCAATACATGAATGTGCAGAAACCTCATTGACATGCAAAATAACTAGTTGATGTATAGGAATTACCCTGCAAAAAGTTTCAGATACAGGACCATCATTTTCTGAGGCAGTCAATTCTTGTACAACTTTCTCCAACCCTTTACTAATGGCTTGCATTTCCTCTGCCAAATATTTCAATTGTATCTGCATGGGTAAGCAATAATTTTGCTTAGCAGCATGCCAAAGGCTGAGCAAAGTAAGTATGATCTCAAAAGGTCATAATAAATTTGCCTTTGTTGAAGCTTCCAAAGTCACTAGGTCTTTTGGAAAATAAAGTACTTCGGGCAAATTATTGACCAGGACCTAAACATTAGAGGCCATTAGCAGCAAGTATAAATTAATGTGTTCATAAAGAATAAGTAATGGTTTGCAATGGTGATAAAAGCAATATAAGCAGCTAAATTAAACAGTTTCTAACCCCTAGTTTTTGTTTTTGGGAAAAAGAAATGAATATAATAGAATCTCTCTCTCATAAATTTGAGACATCCATTCAGAATGAACGATAATGAACTGCAGCAAAGATCAACAACTTTTTATCCATCTTTTAATCAAATGAGACACTCCAAAGAAGCATAAAGCATTTTAATTGTAGAAACCACCTGTAAAGAGATGATAAGCTTGCTCAGCAAGAAAAGATATTGCAGACTAACTTGCAATCTTGATTGATATTTTTATAATTGCATAATTAAATCTCATCATTCCAAATGTATAAACAAAGCAACATGCCATGCATTTTTTGTGCAAGAATTGTTTATGATCTTAGCGACCTGCACATTTTAAAGTTAGCCTTCAACCGAATTAAACAATGATGCAGTGAATATATGCACACATTCATGCATTTTACTATGGTCTTATAAACAAACACAGTAGCATCCCATCATGAAACAAAAGTGTACAAGTGCAAGAATATTCAAGTTATTCAGGCAAATTTAACAGAAAAGATCAGCATCAGGGAAAGTAAAGTAAGATAAATGATCTTCCACCTTACAAAGATAATGCATGGGAGTCATCTTGTTATTTTGAGCTCGTGTGTCAGTGAGTTTAAGGAGACTATCCAACCGAAAACCAACAGCAGAACCTGTGGGAGGGAAACCATAAATTACTGAAACAGTTGGGAGTAAATTGATGCTTGTTCTAAAGATTGTATAGAACTGCTATCTGGGGAGAAGAATGTACAGAACTAACAATAGCAATTGGAGAGATGGTTAACAGAACAAAATTATCAAATTAGAGTGAATAGAAACTCACTTAGGTTTAAGATTTCTATTCTTAGCAGTTGGGAGAAAATCTCAGGATTACTGGACACCCTCGGTATACAGCTCACTGTAATTAACTACAGGAATGTGTTAAATTTTTAGAGTCTCAATTAACAATTAAGGAAATGGTAACATAGACATCTCATTCAAGCAGAATAACATAAGGTCAATCAGCAATAAGGAGACTGGCCTTGTTTTCCATTGACAAATCTATCTCATCAGAATGGAACACAAAAAGATGACTGCAATAGGAAGTTCTTCATCTATTAATAAAATCTACCTCATTGATGAAATCATTCACCCCTTGCAGTTCCATGGTTCAAAGCATTTCCCAGAGAAAGAATAATTTGCATGATCCTTTTCAATTTGACTGAATTCCTCACCTGATGAATGCATTGGTGAAATGCTACAAATGAATAAATTATTCAGGAAAATAACACCTTCAATAGATAAAGCTAATATGTTGTAAAAATGAAAAGTCAACTTGCCTCTTCGGCTGCAGAATTTACAATATTCAAACTATTTCTAAGGTCAGAAACCTGAAAAGGTGCAAAAGTACCAATTAGGTGACAATAACAACAACAACAACAGAAAGCATCTCATACCAATCTGATGAAATAGGTTATCCTCAAACCTGGGAACAGAATTGTATCTTGAATAAGAAAACTCTTAGCTTTGACTCTACCCGTGGCACTTTTATCAATTCTAGGAAAAACTGTCACCAAAAACTGGGTGGGTAATCAGATATAATGCAAACTAAATTTTTGAAGAAATGTGTATAACACAAAGATAATCCACTGACCTGTTCACACTTTCCCAAGTTTTCCTTATCTCCATCATAACCCTGAAAATAAAAATATGATTATCACTCAAAACATGATTATTTGCATAATGCACCAAATAAATACATTGAGACAGATAGTTATGAACATCTAAAAATCTGAAAAATATTACTTTAAGTGCACAGTTAGGGAAAAGATAAGCACATATTTTCAATACCTTGAGTAATTCCGTCTCTTCTTTGGTGGGACAAAACTTAAAAAGGTTCTCAAGCTGATCAGCATTTAATGCTGTATCATCTAAGGCAAGGACTGAACTCTACAAGATAGCGGCAGAGAAGTAAATACGTAAAAGACCAATTCAAGAATATTTCAGGGACAACAGTTTGTAAAAGTCAATGTGGAATGTAATAGTAAGTATTATTTTGGTATTCAAGTGGCAAAAAAAAATGTAATTAAAAAAAAAGAGAAAGAAAAAGAAAAATATCTAAGCCTAACAAATATACATCTAAGAATTAAGTATTATTTTAGTAGCCAAGTGGCAAGGAAAAAAAGTAATTTAAAAAAGAGAAAGAAAAGTATCTAAGCCTAACATACACACGTCTAAGAATTAAACCTTGTCATTTATTAACAGTGACAAACCATGATACCTGTCTCCTGTACATTGAACTATAACCAAGAATCTAAACTACAGTTATTAAGTAGCATTTATTTTAGAGAAATGCATATGGTTTATCTTACCATCAAATCAGGCAAAGGAATTTTAACTTTAGTAAGCATGATTCAATTATAAGCCCGCCTAAGCTCAATCTGCAATATCAATGAATTTCTTGTGAGATAGCAAACTCAGATTAGATGCTCTAAGATGAATAAGAATTTATCAAAATGATAAAGCAGAGTGGTAAACCAGGATATAAAAACATTATGGTAAATCACCATCTAGAACCAAGTATGGAACAGTTGACTGGTTTAAAGAAACAAAAATCAAATCCTTTCAGCTCCAGTTTGTACAAAAACAGGATTTACAAGCTCGGGTGAGGCAATCAACAGAACTAAGGATGGGCTTCAACCTGCTCAAAAAAATTAACATGCTAATTACCAGCTGGACTTTCTCAGATTTGCAGCCTGAGGCATGATGATTTGATTTCCTATCCCTGCTACTATTATCTGAATTTGGTGCAGCTGCGGAGAAAAGACTCTCAAGTTCTGACATGTCAAATTCTGGAGTCCTAACACAGATTAAAAAAAAAAAAAAAACTGAATCACAGTACATCTCTATAGAATTATATGAACTAAAATATTTCTGTGACAAATTTGTACTTGGAAGCTTCCTCAGGTTTTTGTGCCTCAGCCCATAAGCTTCCTTGCACGGCCCTCGTCAACTTCAACCAATGATATGGCTTCAAGTTTGACCTTCTGTGTTGAGCCTGATTTTTAGGACCTGTACGTGATATGCCCTGTCCCTTCAAATTCAAAGGAGCACCATAAGGTGGTCCTGGAATTGAAGGTATATTGCCATTACTTACTGAGTGTGACTGTGGAGAGGTACCACCTGCTTTAGATAACCGTTTGGCACAAGGGACTGGAGGAGGTGGCACAGGTGGAACATGTGGAGAGCTATTTGATGGACCCTTTGGAGCAAGACATGGGAGAGGGGGTGGCTGTGGCACTGAGTATTTACTAGTAGGATCCGAGACAGATCCAGAATGTAGGGGAAGTGGAGGTGGTGGAGGAGGTCCGGATGTCCGAAGCTGTGGTTGAGAAGAAATCGAGCAGATGGCTGAGAAAGAGGAAGCAACAGCAGGGAGTGGTGGAGGAGGGGGAGCTGAAAACGAATTCTTTACAGTAGAAGATGGAGAAATTCCCGACAGTGGAGGAGGAAGGGGTGGGGGAGGGGGAGACTGGAATAAGTTCTTGACTGTGGGTGCTAAAGATGCACTAGAAGAGGAAGGCAGGGGAGGAGAACATTGGAGTGAGTTCTTAACCAAGGGTGATGGAGATGCCCCTAAAAAGGAAGGTGGAGGAGACTGGTATGAGTTTTTGGCTGCAGGAGGAGATACTACCAGAAAAGAAAGGGGTTGAGAAGTGGAAGATGGGCCTGAATTAGAGTTCTCCATGGCAGAAGATGCTCCTGAAAGAGAAGGTAATGGAGAAGGGGGAGAAACAAATGATGACTGACCTCTACAAAATGAAGTGGTTCCTGGATGTTCGGTATGCGTTGCTTTTAAGGTCACTTGAAGTGAAAGATTTGGAGAAGCTTTTGCTATTAGGGAAGTTTCACTAGTAACTTGTGTACCAAGTGAAGGAGGATTTGGTGAAGTAATTGCAAGACTAAGTTGCAGAGGTTTAGGTGTATTTGACAAAGGAGATGAAATAGCTGAGGAAGATAAAGGTAATGTCACCGGATGAATGTGTTCATCACTTTTAGATACAGCATGATCATGCAATAGAGCTGTAATGCCAAGAACTGAAGATGCACTATGGTATCTTGATATTGGCACAGGTGAACCTTGCAAGGAATTGCAATATGAAACTGGAGAAGAGATTGAAGACTGAGGTATTCGCTGTGATATGATCTTAGGTTGTGCAGGCCATTGAAGAGCAACCTGAAGCTCTTGGGGTTCAATTTTCTTTCTGATTGAATTTATATCCAGGGTTGGTTTGGACGATGACGTAGATTGTGCAGGTTGTCGCAGAGAAACTTGAAGTTCTTGAGTTTTTACTTCCCTGCTAATTGAATTGGCTTCTGGGGATGGTTGAATAGAGGTCTTAGAATGTTCTGCTTCTTGTGCAGCAACTTGAAGTTCTGGCAATTCAGTTTTCCCCTCAATTGGGCTTGTATCTGAAGATGATCCAAAAGAGGGTGTAGGCTGTACATGCTTTTGGGGTGCAACCTGGATTTCTTGTGATTCAAACTTCTTTCTAGTTGAATTTGCATCGAAGGATGGTTTAAAAGAGAATGTAGATTGTTTCTCCAAAGCAGCAGATGTTGGAATTGCGATTATGTGTTCTGGTACCTGTAATTTTGATTTCTCCTTGACTTTATCATCATGCAAGACACTGACTCTTTCCATACCCTTGGGGGAATCTGTCTCAAAATCTTCTTGTAGTATATTTGATACTGAGATATGCTGAAACATATTTGCTACAGCTGTCTTTGGAGATAGCCAATCAAAATTGCTGAAAATCTCTTGAACTTTAGCAAAAGCTTCCATGGAAAGGCCATCTTTCTCCTCAATACCAGGTAAATCAATTGAACTAACAGAAGTTGAAACATCCATATCTGAGAAAATAACCTTCACCCAGACTTAAAATAATAACTATCCAAAAACAGAACAGTACAAGACAAAAACCAAGGACAGAGGAAGATATTTATATACCTCTGCTCTAAAGTCCTTTGGAAATTGGTCCTTAGCATTCCATGAGACATCAATTTCTTCACGGTTAAGCATCAAAATGTTTGATCTTATAAAGGCCATATTGAACATGACCCTGAACATCATTGATTCCCGCTCCTGATCACTATCCAAACTAATACATTCAAGCACAACATCACCCAGAACATGGCAATGGATGTCAGTTTTAACTAGTTTGCAATCCAACTGCAAGAATAAATGAAGAATTTAAAGATAAAAAAATAATTAGGATTGGAGAAGCATAACTTCATCTTCAAAGTTGAAACCAAAAGAAGTCATATTGTGAATGGTGATGAGGAAGAAGTAGCTTCCCTTCGACAAAAAAAATAAAACTAAAATAAAGAATGAAGTAAAAAGTTACTACATAGACAAAATGAGAATCAGAGCCACCTGCTTGTAATACTGAACAAGTTTACTCTTCTTCGGTGTAGAGAACAGAACTTTGGGGGTCCTGTCAGCAGCAATAAAAGGATCCTGTCCATATAACCTAAATACTGGACGGCAGCCCCCCTCGCCATCCATATTAGGAATAAATCTTAGAATAATACAGTCTAATGTAAGTGCCCTATCTGATAGAGGCCATTCTGTGCCCACACTTCTCCTAGAGACATACTGAAGATACCTTAGTTGAGAGGGTAGTGGATTCAGGGAAGACATCAAATGTAAAAGCTCACGAGGAGGTTGCTTATAGGTCATGTCTAATGTTTTCAGCTCACCAGTGAACTGCTTCCAATATATTAAGAGAGCAGCAAGCATAAATGCCAAAACAGGCCACTCACCTCATTCACAATGCATTAAGATCAGATTTTGTTGCCCAAGTGAGAGCCAGCTTTCACTTGATCTCAAGAAATGATGGATTATCTCCATTGTGAGTGACAGGCAACCTTCATTTTGACGAGGATAGTCCATTACAGTCATATCATACTCAGACAATATGCTAGCAATCTGGCTTTGTTGCTCTCCTTCTCGGAAGTTAAACACCATGAATGAAGCATCAGGAAAATGATCACGGAGTTGACACACTATGTCTTCAATGTAGATTTTATAATCATTGTCTTCCCAAATGTCCGTTGCAAAGCAAGAATCAAAAACTACAAATGTACACAACAGGACAATGGTTATTAAATAGGTAATACAATAATACTGTTCAGTGATTGAAATGCCAACCATGGATTCACATATACTGCCACACAACAGGTATAAAGTTGTTTTTCTTCCCATTCGTCATACAGCAGCAAGTAAAAAACACTCTTACAGGGAAAGCTAAATCTCTTTCGATAGAACAACCAGAGAAAAACAGAGAGCGCTATGTAAACCTTTCAAAACCTTTACAGAGGACAAAGAGGACTAAATTATAATTAAATGCATACATCATATTGAATCTAGGGCCACAAATAACAGCATCTAAACAAGTAACAAGATAAAGCCTAACCTAAACCATTAGGTTATTTTTGCATATATGCTAATGGCTTAAAGGATGAATTCAGGCAACTATGACACACAGCAGAGTTTACACTGCATTAATTGATTTTTGATGAAGATAGTCCATTAAAGAAACACTACTTCAAAGATTGCGGGCCCCATTGAACATTTGAAGTTGTAAACTTTTTTATCATAGCATTCAATCAGTTTTTTTTTAATGAAACAATGTGATGCATTTAATCTTAGTTTCCCCCAAAAAAGTTTTCCCAAAGCTGTTGATGAACTGAATTTTAATATCATTGCACCCTTTACAGTCTCCAATTCAAATATTCCAAAAAAAAAAAAAAAAAAACCCTTGTGGGCATTAGCTTATTCTCATTTTATTCACTTCCATCTTTTTACCACTGTCAAGTACAATTAAATAACTTACATTAAACATGCAATTATATATCAATTTAAGTATGAAAATACTTTTAACAAAAATTTCAATGTTAATTCAAGTCCCACAGAAACAGTTACCACCAGTTATAACAGCAAAGCCATATGGACTACAAAAATAATAAATAGGTTTTTGTTTAATTCCATTATTGTTGAACATTCACAGAAGCAAATTAAATAAGAAAAGAAGAAAACAAAAGCGAACCATAAACCCTTTCAGAGATCTCCAAAAGCCCATCAGGCGGCTTTCGATAAAAGAACTTCCTAAACAACGCCATTGTTGCTCCAAGATCCGCCAAAAATCAAATCAACCCAGAATACAAGAAACCCACATTGAGTTCACATATAGAGAAACCAACAGCAGAAGAAGAAGAGGAAGAATGGTCCAAACGATTGCATTGGCACTTGGCAGAGGAATGTGAATATTGCTGGGTTATGAAGCAACAAGCTTTGCGGTTAGTGGCAGAGAAACTTAGCTTTCAATCAAGAGACGTTAACGGATAAAGAGTTAGGTTCTGGAGAAAGAAAGGTAAGTAAGGATAGAAGAGGAGAATATTCTAATATGGTTTTGTATGGACAGAAATTTGGGTTGGGTATGCATAGGATTTTTTCTATGAAAAGCAACAGAAATATAACAAGAGGATCAAACCAAAGACCTCAGCTTTGTCTGTATGTCCTGTCTCTTTCTTTTTTGTGTGTGTTAAATCATAAACGGATGACGATAACGATTGGTCCCTTTTTCATTTTCTTCAGTATTTTCCTTTTTTTTTTGTTTTTCTTTTTAATTTTCCCTCCAAATATAATGTGTCCATAATCAAGATTCACATGAATAAGGTTAGATCTGTACCTCATGGTCCCATCACGTGTGTTTCACTTTTTCATTCCGTCATCAAACACCTGCTAAAATTAAATCAAAAATAAAATAAAATAATTATAAGATATTTGGATATGACTATTTATATTTATGAAATGAGAGGTTTTTGATTGATTAAATTGTCGAGATCAATCTTAAGGGTCAAAAATGATTTACTAAGTTCAAATTAAATTAACAATTAATTGTTCAATCAAAAATTAATATTTTAAAAGTTTAGTATACAAATTATTAACGTGATCAAGTTAATGTAAATTTATAAATTCAAGTGAATTTGATATATCGATTAACATGATTAAAATTTTTTAATTATTTTTTATTAATACAAAATAAAAAAAAATATTTATTTTATTCTTTGAATATAAAAGTATCCTCAAATTATTATCTATTGGGGATTCCTTTGCATTTCAAAAGAAAAAAATATATTATTCTATTGTTTGATAAATATTTTTAATATATAAATATTAATGATGATAAAATAAAAAAAGAAAGCACCATTTAATTGTGCCTTTAGGAAGTAGTTTCATGATCTAAAAAGTTTTATTCATGCACTTGGACTTACACAAAATTTCACTTTTAGGGGCCAATTTTGTTACTATCAACTTTATCAATGGCCACATTCATTTTATAAAGAAGCGATTTGAAATTGTTTTGTGGGCCTAATCATGCTCAAAATCGAATCAAATATGGGTTAGGTTGTTAAATCAAGAATAGCAGCTACAAGAATTAACAAAAAAATGCCATGAACATAGGTCCTTGATGAGAATTAAAAGAAAAAACAAATGGCCCACCAAATCTCTCATGCATACCAAAGCACATTTTTCATAATCAAGTCAATGAAAGGCAAATTAGTTAATTATCCTTTATACCAACCATTTTAGAATTACAATTTAGCAAACCACCATATGCTTGACTTGATGATGATTATACATACAATATTAAGCCGAACATTTTTATATATGGGGTTTATGTAAAATCAAATTCTCCATATATGTTGATATAAGCTTTTTGCACCAAGAGCATTCATTCATGACATTTTTATGCCATTAAAGTTAATAAAATTTTTCATCAAGGTGATTATATTGATAATTTGAACAATAATTCATAAATTCACACACATATCAATAAAGAGAAAAGGCCTAAAAATATGTTAATTCTTGTAAATATTTATATTTAAATTTTAATATAAATTAGTTTTATTTCACGTGCTATGGACATGATTGTTAACCAAATTATAATTATAATATAATATAATAATTTTGATATTTTATAATAATAAAATTGAAATAATTATCATCATACTAAATTAAATTAAAAATATAAATTTAATTTTAAAAAATAAATATAACAAAAAAATTAAAATTTCAATAAAAAATAAATTTTTAATGTTTCTTTATTTTGATTCTTTTTAGAAGTTTTCTTTTAAGTGTTTTACTGTTAAGATATCATCTTCATTCTTTTTTTATATATTTTTCTTCTTTTTTAATTTTTTTGACTATAAAAGATTACCTTCTATTACAATTAAATTGGATTTTATACTTTCCTTCTCCCCTATTTTATGTTTTTTCTATAGTTTTTTTAAGCTTTTTTAGTGGTGGATTTTTATCTTCAATTTTATAAATTTTTTAGGCAATTGATCATTGCCAAACTCATTCAAAATATTACTTTTCATATATTTGCCATTGAAAATTTAAATTCATTATTTTGATTTGAAACCAAATTGTTATAAAGTTTTTGTTATTTGAAATAAAATAAATATATAATGTTTTTTTTTCATTACTAACTTATGTTTTTAACATGTACTTATTTATGTAATATAAATCATTTTGTAATTTCATTTTATAGTAAAAAATGCATACTTACATGAATTTTACTAATTAAAAATATTAATTTGTAAACATATTCTAAAAAAGGGTATGAAGTAATAAAAAAACTATTAGTATTTCGATATAATAATCAATGATATTTATTTATGTATTTATATGGGATATTGACTAAAATTACTTTTAGTTTGGAATACTAATTTCTTAAAAAGCAATTAAATATACATAACTTACTAAAATATGTTATATACTAAGAGTTTAAATAACAAACTTTACTTAAAGGTATACCTTATCCTAATCAAATAGTTTTTTATGTTGTTC